AGGAATCTTTCTATGCTTTTCACAGGAAAGTCTCACTAAAATACTAGGATCTCTATATAGAGAATAGGCAGGCAGAAAACAGTGTTCTGTCAGGCATCTCTGCTTATCATATGCCAAGGTGTCCAACAGTAGCAAGATGATCTGAGAAAAAGGAATAGCAAAAGAAAAAAAAAGCAAAAACAAAACACTAGGGAAGCATACAAATTTGGACTTTAAACAATAAGGTTGGTAAGGTTGGTCATGATCTCCTCAGCAAGCACTTTTAAATGTTTTAAACACTCTGCAAGACATGTCAGAATAGATTTTTGGTATTTATATCATTAGGCTCAAAGGACACGATATTGTTGCCAAGTGCAAGATCCAGTTGTGAATCACCACCCCGTCTGATCTAAATCATTAGCATGAAGGGAAATCTTTCATTCAAAGACAGCACTTTAGTCATGAGGCTGATGGAAACTGAAAGAGGACCCTCTTTCAGTGATGCTTGTGGAAGGTTTGCTTGGACCTGAGCCCTGGAGACTCCAGGACTACCTTTGAGGGGAACATCCGAACACACCTGTACAGCATATAGAAGCACAGAGGCCTTGTTCCAATTCTTCATGAGAAGAGCTGATCCTAAATAGACATATATCTATTCATGATCCTGTGACTTCAGCTCTCCCTGAGAGACAAGATAGTTGGATGCAAAAAGTTGCATCTTTTTCTGAGGCCAGCTACATATCTTCACCAAGATGTGTAGGACAACAAAGATGTGGGGACAACAAAGTGATGCATTTTAACGTGTTTTGTGGCACTGACAGGCAGCCAACTGATAATAAAGTAAGTCTGCCAAAGAGATGATGCTCTGAGAACACGAGTAACACCACTAGAACATTCAACTAGTAGCAACGCTTCAGTCATTTAGTTCTGCAATGCACTCTGTGAAAATCATTTCTCAGCTGACTGAAACCTAAACAAAAACAAATGCATCTTCACACATGAAAATCAGACTACAAAATCTGCCTATAAACAAGAAACCCGGATAAGTTACTTCTCCCTGCAGAATCAAATGCAATGGGACAGTGCTTGAAAAGAATTCCTTAGTGAGCACAAAGAAGTATGACTCGGTAAAATTAAAAAGCCTGGAAGTTGCTCAGAAGTAACTGAAGTCAGTGATTTTACAGGCTGTAAACACCATGAGAGGGAATGATCGTTAGCAGAACTGGGTCCAAAGACATTTGTAATGGTCTCAGATGAAAAAACAGGAGAAACAAATAAATGACCTTCCCACCCCTCAAAACAGCTAATTTCCAGATAGAGTGGTTATTTAAACCTGGAACTTTTGTTAAATTTCATGCTTACCTGACTATAAAGTGCCAAAAATGCATCCGTTTCTAAATTTTCCAGGAGGTCTTCAAGCACCACACAATTTGCCCGCTCTTCTCTCAAGCTGAAGTGAAAGAAAGTGAATCACTGAACCCAGACACAGTGGCTGCTTTGTAGGAAACACCTGAAGATCAAAAGCCATCTATTCGGAAAGCACTTCTTTCCGCCAGCCGAGCTGGCTGACACAGCCTGCCTCCAAAATAAGCCAACCTCTCCGCTTCCTTTTTCCCCTGAACCACATGTTGTTTTCGTCTTAAGGAATTCCAAATAGAAATGGAGCAAAATGGAAGCAAAACATGTGGAGCTCTTATCCACAACAGAATTTGGAAATCATTCCTAAACATTAGGCCTCTGCCCCTCTATCCTCTTCTTTAAGTGTCACCACTATACTTTTTGACAAACTGTGGATTCTTTTTGTTGCTGGAAAAATACCAACCAGTATGTTTCCTCATTGCTGGTGATTTTTCCCTCTCTGGACTAGACCATGAAGTCACCTTGGTTTTGGGCATCCAGCTAAACAGTGAAGGCCAGTTTTTGTTCTTAAAAGGCATAGTTGACATGGTAGATCTATATACATACTTATCAATTTTTCTAGAGACTATTTATTACACTCTGGCAACAGGAAAGAGTCATTAATCTACATCCAGTAGACCATCAGCCTTTTCTTTGCTAAAACAGACCCACGAGTGTAATGAGCCCACCCAAAGTTTATCAAAGTCATTTTTAATAAATGCCTGGGTTCAAGTGAAACCCTTGCTGCAGTGGGTATCTCATACTGTTCAATTCACATATAAATGTAATTCCTAATTCCTGTGACTGCAAAGAAGGCAATGCAATATTCTGTAAGGCAACAGTCTGTCATTCTGAAACCCCTACCTAATTTTTTTGCGTAAACTTTTAAGTTAAGGTAGACATTTCTACATCAAAAAATATTCCAAGGAACATAGTTTCTTTCTTTCTTGTTGTTTTTACTTTTCACTGGTATTTTTACATAAAAACTGACAAAGGAAAGCAAAATTGAGCCTGCCACTGATAAGCAATTTATTCGTTCTATCAAAAACGATTATATGACACGGAATTCAGTTTAAACAGCCAAGTACATGCACAGCAGACATGAAAACTAATTCAGGTCATCTCAGCTACTTTTTCGAACCCCAACAAAGCAGCTTTCAATGAAGTCCCTACCTACCTTCTTGGGAGAAGAGACACAACTTTGTTCTCTCCATTGTTGGTAAGGAGTATTGTTATTTTTCCAGTGGGCCACTTAAGAAATACTGATTGCTATGTAGCACATCACAATTTACATTTTAAAACATTATTATTATTATACGGTTGTTATTTCAATATGGCTACATGTTTTCAATTATCATCCAGGCCACACTGCAGAAAGGCACCGTTCATCCACAGGTGTAGATTCCTCCCAACACAGCAATGACTGTATAAAGACTGCAGTGACTTAGCCATACCCGAGACCAAGACACTCACCTTTGCTGCTGCAGATTTATAAATTGTCCACATTTACTCATGGCTTGTCTTAGCAGAAGTGTCACCTGTCTGTCTGCATTAGTTTCCACAGCTTCACTTGGAAGTCCTAATCCATCCGGAGCCCATCTCTTCCTACTCATTAGATATTGCTGCTGCTGAGCTGACTCTTTATGCAACATCTCATACTCCAGCTTCCTGTCAACATCTTCAATCTCCTAGGGTTTGAAAACAAAACTATAAAAAAGTCATAATTCATCTGGAAGAACAAATTTCATTTAAGTCAAGAAAAAAGATGATATCAGAATGTGTGATAAGGGTCTATTCACTTTGCATTCTACCCAGCCCCTCACAGTCATTACACTTTCCAATTCATTGTATGGCTTCAGTAACCACGACTTGTATGCTATGAATATCTGAACAATACCTAAAGATGAGTCACTTTTTGCTGAGTTAAAGGCTGATGCTCTCTGAAGCCTTCCACTGTAGAGGACATCTAGAAAGTACAATACCAGCGTGACCGAGAACCAAACAAAAGGATGACACCTTTAGAATTAATCCAGAAGCTGCATAAAGCCATTGAATCACAGAATAAGAAATTTAAGCAGACACTAAGCAGTGTAAGCTCTACTTATAGTGAATCACTGGCAAACATGAAAGAAGTGCCAAGTTAAAAGACAATAATGTTTAGTGCAATAAAAGCAGACTAAAATATAATGCCTTAAAAAACAAAACATGCATCTCTCAGGACAAGGATCTCTCTTTGGGCAAGTAAAACTAAACCGCAGGAGGATGGGCATATTCTAAATTTTTCCAAATGTTTTTTGTCTGGCCTCAAACAGGTTGCTTACTAAGCAAGTCTATAGCTTGCAGAAAATACTGAATTTTGTTGTCTTTCTTTCACATCCCCAAATTGTTTCATGACTGACAAAACAACCACTGCTGTACTCAGAGGATACTTTGTAATCTGAAATATTTGTTTTAAAGTAACAGGTGTCCAAATTTGTCTGCTGGTGGGACATACACAGCAAGAGGCAAAGGTTTGATTACCAGGAGACAGTGCCTGTAAACTAACTATAACATTTTTAATTAAGATTGAAGTACTTTTTTCCCCCTCAAAATAAGGCTTAATCAGACCTGGTACACTGGGTAAAGAATCCAGTGCTGCCTGTTCGACATCTCTCACCTGCCCCTCTACCTGTTTTTTGCCTTCTCACATCTTCAAGCAAAGAGAAGCAAAAAACAGCCCCTTTGCAAAGGGTGGAGAAAAGCCTGGTCTTCTCTATGAAACCCCCTGCACTTAACTGCATAAGAGGCAGCAATACCAGATAAGTTATTTTAATAGTTGGAGAGAAACCTCCACAGAGCTTTCTCTTTCTGCTGCATTTTTTTCCTACAGATTTAATACCACTTTAAACAAAATTGGAACTGTATAAATATACTAACAAAATGCCTTTCAAAGAGAAGCTCTGCAGAGATGACAGTATTAAAATGTAACCAGGAGTTTTCACAGCAACAGCTGTCTAACGATGCCCTCTAGCAAAGAGGTTTTGAGTCTAAAAACCCATTTTGTTTGTTCTACTTCAGTGCTCTCCCAAGCCTCACTTGGATAGCTGCAAATGGGAGATGCATAAAAAAAAAGTTGTTATGAATACAGAGCACTGAAGTATTAAAAAGGATTAGAAAACTGGCACACACAAAAATGTAATGAATATGATGAAGGGAAGAAGCCTTTCTGAAAGTTGTGCTATTTAAACTGCATGAGCATGCTTGGAGAGAGACAGACAGGGAGGCTGTATACATAATCCTTGTGAGGGCAGTGATTGAAGCACATCATGAGGTTATGGATTTTGCTACAGGGACAGCACTATAACGCGCAACTTTCCAACGCTGTCCAACTTTCTACACAGGCATGACAATTTACTGGTCACGACTCACAGTCACATCCCCATCCTCTTTCTTGTGAGCAACAAACTATCTTAGTACTAACTAGGCCATCAAAGTATTGCTCTTTCTGACTGAAGATTTCTGGATGCTACTATAATAAAAATAATAATCACAATATACAATCTCCCCTAGGTCTAATAGTACTTTCCTACTCTTTATTTCTGCGACTTAGAGCACTAAGTTCACATAATAACAGGAATTAACAGCCCAATCATCCAAACCAGCCTGGAAAAATCATATCAAATAAGCTACTGTCACAGATGCACTCTGCTAACAGGAATCTGCCCTTTCCACAGCTTCACTACTTACTGGATTGTGTGCTTCCAAAATCTGAATACACTCCAATTTTGACAGCGTTTTTGAAGTGGTCAGTTGTTCGAAGAGCAGAGCTTGTACATTTATGATAGCACGATGCCGCTCCCACATCTTGGTTTTTTTAATAGTTTTTTGAAATTGCAAAGAAGCAATATACTCTCCAAGCTTATTCCCTAGATCTTGCAGCTGATTCTCTTTCTCAAGTTGCAGCTCATACTTAACCTAAAAAACAATGAAATGCAAAACCTAATAAGATTAGCAGAAGGCCTGATATACACAAACTCATGATTTTACTATGTGTGTAATTAACACACTGGATTAAAATAGAAATCAATACCATTATCTTATAATGAGATACATTTTCAAAACAGAATATATGTGACTTTTACACAAGCATTTTTAACAGTAAATTCTAAGCTTTTACTTAAATGATCACAAAACATTACACTAAGGTCGTGTAGTGAGATATTTCAACAGGATCTGGCTTTAGCTTGGGGTAGCCAAAATTTTGATATGAAAGCTACGCTAAATTAAAGGATTTAAAATAATTTTATAATCTAATGAGAAGTAAAAAATAAAAGTATTAATAAATATAATTTTACCTATATGACTGCTTAAGGAGTAAGACAAAAGGCATCCTACTGTTTAGCAAAAAATGATGCAGGACTTAAGGTAAAGACTATATCTAGCCTCAAATGATAGCAAGATAAGACTGAACCTCCTATTCTTTAAGCAAATGACAACAACAACAAAAACTCTTACATAAAAGAAAGTTAAACTGTAAATCACAGTCCACTGATAATGGATTTCAAACAAGATTAAAACTGGATTAAATTGATTTCAAACAGGATTAAATTGAAATCATTTAACTCAATAATTATGCTGCTGACACACATTTGAGAGAACCTATAAAGAAGTTACGCAGATACAAAAGGCAAACTATATTTGACAGCGTATTCCTTATGAGAACATTTTTTATAACACAATTCATATGCCCTTGCCACCAATCTCCTCCTAAATCTCCTTGAGCGGGTCGCATTTGCTCTGTGTCACCGTGCGTGGAAGGTGGCAGCATTTGGAAGCACAAACCAGTGAGTGGCAGCCTGACTGGCAAGGCTTCCCCACCCTCTACCTACATTAGGAGTTGATGGCTACACTGCACATCTACATTTGGTTAGCTGAAATCTGAATAACAGTAAGTAATCATCTTCTTGATTTTAGGCCCCCTTTTTGTCTTTCAGACAGAGAGAGCACACTCATACTCCCTTTCCTGGTGTTCTAGCACTCACTACACTTCCCATGGCATTTTGAATAAAGCTAAGCACAGAAGCATCCCATCTATGGCATTATTGAATATCAGAGTATGTATTTTTCTCTCATTCTGTCTCTAAACTCTGTTCTAATCCTGAGAAATGTTATTGAGAGATTTCCAGTAATACAAAAAATAACGTCTTGGGAATCAGAATTTTTCCAGGGTGTTAATTATTTTATCAGAAATGCTCAAACAACAACTGCCTGTGCCAGAATGCAAGAACCACGGCCACGAGAGGAGGAAACAAGCAGCTTGTGCTTCGTCTCCTCACACTTCCATGCTGTGAAACTGTCCCCCAAACTCCTCCGCAAAAGCCCTACTGTAGAGAAGGGAGGGAGGGGGAGATGCTCTGCACTACTTCCCATCAGCAGAAGAACTAATTTTGCCCCTCAGAATCTCACATGACCAGGGATGATATGTACTCAGGACACAAAACTTAATTAACTTACTATTGATGATAACTGGAATTATATATTATTGACTAAATTCATGATTAGCATTAAATCACTTAAAAAGACTTCCACTAAATTCTTAGATCCTTAAGATGATAAACAGGCAATATAACACCTGTGAATTTTCTCTCAAGATTTTATTGATAAGACAGCTGCTAAGAGTAACTGCATATCACCCAAATTGTATTATCTAACAGATAGAGTTAAACTAAGATTTTCAACCAGATATGCTTATTCACCAGGGCTAATATAATATTCTCCAAAGTCTCCATTAAATCATTCGGAATGTCCTTGAACACAAGAGAAGGGAGTTATCTACAAGAAGTATTTTCTACTAATACTAAGGAAGCCAAATACAACACTGGAGTAAGAAATCTTCCTACAGACACAAAACAGAGGCAAGAATAATTTTCTAGATATTTTCACTGAATCTCCCATCTTCCACAAGGGACATCATCTTTTAATGTTAAGCCAAAGAATTGATCTTTAATAATAAATAGGGGTAAGACTATTTAATAACTAAGTATATAGTTTATTAGTAATAATATAGGATATTTGAGTTAGGAGAATTCAGTTCACAGATCAGACTGGAAATACAGTATCCAAAATGCTTAAAACTAAACTTGTTTTGGAACACTGCCAACAGAGAACCATAGTGAGAAGGGAGGAGATGGCCAGAATTTGAATTTTATGGAAAAAGAGCTGAGCTGCCTCTTACTTTTCATATGAAAAAAGAAGACAACTTCTACTTTGGACTATATCCAGAAATATATATTGCTTGCTTCTATGTTCCAGTCCATAGTGAAAAAAATTTGATAATAATACTAAAATATACACATCTCCAACATTCTTTGAAGGAAGCTGGGAAACCTGTTAAGATGAATTTGAGGCTTTCGTTCTCTGTGCAATGCTTTTCACTGAAGTGCTAACAACTTTAGCATTTCCCTTCTAACCTCACAATCCAATGGTCTGTGAGCATTTAGGAGCGTATGCTGTATCCTAGCAGCAATTACAGGAAATCAAATAAAGATAAAAAGCTTCTGTATAGCAGAATCACAAGTTCGATTTTGATTATAAAAGACCACCATTTCCAGCCTGTTTTTTTTTTTTAATTTTGTCAAAAGCGAACATGTTAAAAATCCAAAATGTTATTTTGAGTTATTCTTATAATCAAGATCGAGCTTCTCAGGGAAGGCAGGTAACTTCTATGGGACTCTCGGTCTGCCACTTAGATTTTTATTCTACCAAGGTGTGCAGGGAGCTGCACCACTAGAGCAGACATCATGTTAAGGGGCAATGCATGTTTAAAAAGGTGCCAGGCTGGACACCTAATGTCACCTTCCAGAATTTTGGCAATGTGCAGCTTTGAGTTTACTTAAAACTCAAAGGTGACAGAAAAAATGAGAATGAGCGAATTTTCATCACAAGAGATTGAATGATTTATGTTATGATTTACATTATAATTGCATCAAGTGATTCTATTCGAGGATTAGGTGAAAAAAGTTCAAAAGCATCTACTTGACTAAAAAGACATAGCTCCATTTTCAAAAGGACTAAAGCCCAACATTATTCCTATGACATTCTCTGTTCAAAATATTAGGGCAGCTTCTCAACTAATATGAATTATTATAGCTCCATTAGCTTGAAAGAGTTATGACAACATACATAAATTTTGTATTTAGCTCTCTCTCTTCTTCCAGCTTTTATTTACATGCCTAGGATCCTGTCTGCCAGAATACCTATATTTTTCCACTATCTTATAAAGAGAGAAGATAACGCTTGAAACATGATTTGTTTTGTAGGATGTAATCAGCAAATAACACCTGAAGGCTGCTTTTGTGGTAAGGAACTGGATGTACTATAAACCTTTAAAGATGCAGATAAAGAAATGCAGAAATGTTGACAGATGTGTGCACACAACTGAATTTGAAGTTTGCCTCTTTCTTCAGGAGGCTTAGTTTCAGATGCAAGGATTTTGAATGAATTATACATATATGAAACCTGGGGATGGATGAATGAATAATGAAGAGATGACTGAGTGATCACCTTCAGAAGAAGTTTGAACCGATTAATATGAATAATGAATAAGGATGGAAATGGAGTTGACAACTCATGTTCACTATACGGAGACACAAAATGTATACTTTAATTACACCTCAATTCAAAGGCAAAAGAGATGATATTAGTGGCAGAAACATTTATATGTTCTTTGTCAAGCACTTCAAATGTCAAGTAGTTTTAAGTTGTATGTGCAGCATACACCATGAATCATAAGATTTATGGTCCAAACTGCAAAACTGGACACCATTTGCATATTCATGAGCACAAAGTCTTATTTTAAGCACATTTCGACACATGAGAATGATATTCAACTCTATCATTCAGCATCAATTCAACATTACAGAGCAAATCAACTGCCCTTAACCAAAGAAAACATTGCTTTTTGATCAAACTAGCATGACTATTCACCACCAGAAACCTTCCTCTGAGTTTCCTTCTACCTCTTGTCAGTTTCCAAATCATAACTCTACAGAGACATCTTCTTTTGTTTTTGTGGGGAAAAAAAAAAAAAAAAAAAGCTTTCAAGCTGTTCTGACTTCAGGGTGACATACAAGCTGCCAGTAGAAGCAGGATCAAAAACTTATTATAAACTAAATTAAATGAGTTATAGACTAAATATTCATTGGCTACTCTTGAAGCCTTCTATCGTTCCAAACAGAAGATCAAAATTCCATAAAACATCATATTGTTTAGTATATTTTTAGCATATTATTAGTATCATACTGTTTTGCTGACTAGTCTTCTGCTGCTGATTCCACTTGAAGCATCCAGATTAAATAGCAAATTTCAATTTTGCAGATACATTATGATTAGTTCATTGCTTGGGAACATTTACTTCTAAATTCCTTATTTAGTTCATACTTTTCATCCACAAGTGGTACTTCCATTCTAAATATTACAAATAAAAGGAAATGATCTGAAAAGGTACTTAACTACCTTACATTTATCATGCAAGTCTATTATTTTTGTTTCTCATTTTAGCCCATCAGGCTCAAAAGAACAAATAATGTCAATACTTTGACTACTATTTTTCTTTAGACATAGGCATCCAATGTTTCAGAAAGGAAGTGCATAGGTTAGCTGAAAACTACTAAGAAATATATAGTAAACAGAGACTATTTTTAAGTATTTTCCTGGTAAGGTCAGTGATCAGGTAAGGTCAGGAGAAAAGAGCAAGACACGAAATCAGTTCTGTAACTAAACTTCAAAATTTAAAACAAAGCCAAAACTATCAAGTTTTAAACAGAACTTCATCACAAACGCAGACAAGGGTAGGAGAGATACTGCTCCAGCTCATGACTTCTGGATATGGATCCTACTCATACTGATAGCAAACTGTCATTATTTTAATTATTAAAAATCTTGGAACTCGGTACAGGAAAAAAAAAATGCATTTACCTTATTCACATTTTCTTCTTTCACTGAGTTTTCATAAATTAAAATTTTTTCCTCTAAAGATTTCTTCAGAATATCTATCTTGTTTCTATTCCTTGATCCTGCTTTTTTTGTCTTGGAATGTTGCTGTAAGAAGATTGAATATACACTGAGTATTCACAAAAGTAGATGGAGGTGCCAACATTAATATCGTTACTTACTATTGTTTGGGGGCAGATCTACCAATTAATGAAATACTTGGCACGGATGACTTTCACTGAGAAAATAATCTCCGAGATGAATGTACAAGCTATTCATTCAGAAAATTGCTTTTGGATATTCAAGTTGGATTTTTTTTCTAATTTCAAGTAGAATTATATATTCATCCTTTGCATGGAAACTGCTAGCATATAAATTTAATTTTAAACAAGCTTAGCCGTGATAATAAGCAATGATTTTAACTGATACTTTGTCTCCTCTGCACTGTTTAAAATGAACAGAGAATATTAATTTATGAACTACATTGTTTTTAAGACACTGCATAAGAATCACAAATGAACCATGATAGTATTAAGGGGTACCATTCCATGTAATCAAATTATACTTGACCTTTATATTCTTTACAGGAATACCAAATAAGTATAATGTACTCCTGGGGAAATTATAACATCTCTTCAACTATAAGGCTTTGTAAAGTCATTCGGCTTCTTAAGCACCTAAATCACAAAGGTTTTGAACTAGGCTAATACACAGTAAAATTAACCCAAGTTGGTTTGTACATTTAGAAAACATAACTGAACCAAATCAAAGCACACAAAACCCTTTCTCCTATGATGTTATCCCAACAATTTATAGAATACTTTTTTTTTCTTCTGTTTGCAAATTAAGAACCCACAAGTTTTACAATCCACTGAAAAATTGAAAACCATTCATATAACATACACACACACACACAAAAAGCTTTCTTGTTGGGAAAGTCTCTTTGAATGAGTATGCATGATCTTCTGTTTATTTAGGCTTTAAAAACAAACAAACTAATAAAAAAGCCACTCCATATACCTTTTTGTGGGTTTGTTTTTCTGGTTTGTTTTTTAAAGAAGAATCAAATTGCCAAGAAGAGTCAGGAATTCATTTCCTAAACAGAAAAGATAGCTTAGGACATTCCCCCCTCAAAACATGCAAGTCCTACACGTAAATGATTTCAATTCAGCGGGGTGGATGCTGTGGGACAGGGCAACAAAAACATGCAGGAGTGCGTGAAGAAAACATGTTTATTGATTATATGCTTAAGGTCTGCAGATCCATCCTGACGTGAGAAGCAGGTACTGCTGTCACGTGCGGATGAGCGGCCACGGACCCCGGCCTGCGGATGGGGCCAACACCCTATGGATACGTTCATGGAAGTGACACATTCCCACACTTATCCCACCTGTTTGCTGGTCATCGCAATATGCTGGTCCACTTTCAGCAACTCTGCTTCCCTCCACTCCAACTCGAAAGCCTGGAGCAGAGTTCTTGCTCTTATTCTGGGCAGAGCTAAGCTGCTGTCCATTTGGGAAAAGCAGCAGTGGAACTCCTGCCTTATTTTAAACAACTCGTCTTCAGATAATGAAAGGGGTAAACTTAGCAGCTGCCTGTTAAAAACCAAGAAACACACACTGTTCTGTTATTCGAACAAATCTATACAGAGCAAAAAGACATTGAACATGACATTGATCACCTCTTCCTGCCTTATTCCAGTTAGAAATAGGAAAAACCTGTCAGCTCATATAATCTACTTCCCTGCTTGTGTTCTTTACGTGAATATTTTCTTACACAAAAATATTTAAAATGCTGAATAAAATACTTAAGTCAATGAAATTAGAATGAAAAGAACACACAGACTTTTCTAACAAAGACATATTGGGAAGGATCTGTGTACGTGGTTGTGGGAAACATGGTGGTGTATGTATATTTTCCAAAAGGTTTTATACTGTGTATGCTGTGCAGCAGGCAAACTTATAAAGATAATCTCTGGATAAAACTACCCCAAGAAAAAAAAAAAAGGTCTTGGTATGAGGGAGAAATCTTAATTAATGTCTTTTTTTTTTCTCTTCTATTCTCTTCTATTTCTCACACCTGGTATGTTTGTTCCAGTGGCAAACCGCCTAACATGGGATTGCCTATTCCACCTACACCTCCCAAAGTTGCAATTTTGATAGCAACCTATATTCTCATGTTCCCATGTTTCTTACAATGTCTCTCATTACATAAACATCACAGGAAACTGCAGTGTTGGTGTTATGCTACACAGGTAGCACAGCAGGCAGCATAACAGCTACACAAACACATCAGGCAAGTCAAAAATGTTCAAGAAAGCAAAGAAAGTGCTGCAACCTGGGCAAAACTCTCAAGGATCCTGTTATCTGACCTGTGCTCCACCATACGTGCAGACTCACCTGAGGTTGCGGTCTGACCCCACGAGTCTGTCAACACCAAACTTTCCTTCCCCATCGTGCATAGCAATGACCAAAAGTACAGCTGGGGAGAGAAAACCGCTCCACAGCATCCCTGAGTCTGTGAGCTGACACTCCAGCCCAGGTCCTTGGTCAGATGCAACCCCCAAGCCCAATAACTAAATCACATTTTGAAGTATTGGATGTCTGAGAACAGACTGAGAACCTGAATGAAAGATATGTGGGTGACACCTCACACGCAGTGAACAGAAGTATTAAGCTACCACTCGACACTCTTAGTTTAAAAAGCACAGTGTCCTGGAAATGCCACTGTTGTGTTAGGAGTGTCAGCCCACCCCGCTGTGTAGCACTTGTGAAAAAACACTTCCAAAGTATACAGCAGAGAACTGACCATTAAAATGTTACCTAGGCAGATGTTAAAATTTCCAGTCCATCTCTACTTACAAGTGCAACAGAGGAGAGGGAATGGAGAGATACTTGCATGAATATTAATTGTTCCAAGGTCCTTAATTTTTTTTGTTCTGAAAGACTGTTTTCCAGTTCTTGGCTTAGTTTTTGCCTGGTGAGGATAAGCAATTCTTCAATGGCTATACTCTTGTCATGTTCTTCTCCTTCTAGTTGTTCACGTTTACCAACGATCTCCTCCTTATGCTCCTCCACAGCTTCTAGCAGGAACACCTTCAAAACATCGAGCTTTAACAGTTCATGCACGAATACTCCATCCTGAACACGTTTAAGCTCCTCGGTGGCTCTCTCCATTAGACTAAACATAAGCTCTCTGAGCTCTTCACTGGCTTCACTATCAAGCTTCTCAATAAGTTCTTCAACTTCAACAGTGTGATCACTCAGAAGACTCTTCCAGTGGTTGATGTACTGACTGACCTCCTGAGTTGTTCTGAAGGTGTCTCCTAGGGACAGCTGCTCCTTTCGATGCTCTTTCTGCTGATTCATTGGCAAAAACAAACAAACAAAAAAAAAGGTAAAGATAAGGAATCTCTCAAAATCCAGCTCTTTAAAAATCTCCTAGCAAAAATAAAAACTCAAATTTGTTTTTCAGTGTTCAAAGACTTATTCAGCACTCAGTGTGGGGGCTTTCTGTTTGTCTATCAGACATTTATTAATTCAATTGCTATTAGACAGAAGGGCTAAATAATGTATGAATTTGTGGTCTAACAATCTCAACTGTCTCAAATGTAGCAAGCTGTCAAGATTCTGTAAGTGAGTCTAGGTCAAAAATAAAGCAGGAAGAAAAAAGGTTGCTTGGGTGTTTTCTTTCTCACAGCATGCAACAAATTTTCTGAATGCCAAACCAAAGCAACCCGTACTGAGAATAAAGGCAATAAATGAAGTTGCCATCTTTCTTTATACCTCATCTCTCTTCTTGCAGTATTAAAGAACTGCCTATTAAAGAACAGTCAGAAAATAGACACACATATTCTCCTAAAGGTAAAATTAATCTCGCCTAACTTTGATCATAATTACAATCCAAGGTAGGCTTTTCAACACTTTTTAGGCAGTCAACAGGGAAAGAAAGGGCCCTTTGGATAACAATTCTCTCCTAGTTATGTTGGGTCACCTGCAATTCATCTCTCCTAATAAGACAATCACCAGTTGGAGCTTACAGCTAGCTTTGGATTTTAGATGGCCAAAGTCAGAAGGATGAATCCTACCAAAACCAACCACAGGTGCAGTATTTTTTAAAACTTTTTACTTTGTAATTACTGTGCAGAAATTTGAATGTGTGCTGTGAAAGTCATTTAAATATCCCTCGATTAGAGGGAGAGCCTCAATTGGTCTTTTGCCCTTTCGTACATCAGTGTACATTGCACAGACAATGTTAAATACTATCATATAAAACCTGGGCTTTAGCTTTCCACTCATTCCGTTTTTGCTTCATAAGCACCATGACAATAAATATGCTGAAAATAATTACCTTTTGCAGTATTTCTCGCCTTCGTTTGATAATGAGTTTCTGTTGAAGCTTTTGCTTTTCTTGTTTTAAATCATGATCAAATTTCTGTTTAACAGAATTAATTTCTGCCTGAGCCTGGTCCAACAGCGTTCCCAAATGACTTTCAGATAGATGACCTGCCCTGTAGTAATAATATTTAAAATCTGTTACCCCAAATTGTTAAGAACAAGATGATATTTGAGTTAATTAGTACCATAACAAGGGTCAACGAACAAGTCACACAGAATGATCCTCATTTCATTGCAGCAATACCTGCGGGGACCCAAACAACGCAGCTGATAATGGAAGGATAACCTTAATCTCCGCGATGAGTTCAGAATTGTGGCAGTTTGCAAGGTAGAGTGAAAATGTATGAAGAAAGATGAGAAGGAAGAAAGAGAAAGCAAATCCAAAACCAACTATTTATCAGTTAGTAATGCATGCAGTATTCAAATAAGACATTTTAAACTTTATATATTATTCATAATATTTACATTTTTCATTTACTGCCACTGGAATTGAATTTTAGAAGACTTTTATAACTCCCTCTCCTCATTAATAATGATTTTCTCTTTTAAGGATGTAATTTAATCAAATGAAAACACTTAATAATGTTTTTAAAGATAGAAAGAAATCACATCCTTGAAGAAATTTATATTCACACATTTCCTACTATATTTAAATCATCAGAAAAATTATAAACATTTCAAACTAATACAATAATCTGATAGAACAAATTCTCATATTTTAAACACACCTTGTCTATTTCATACTTTGAGAGAGAAGTATCTCTCCAGTTCCTGTCATACTTAACTTCAAAGAGTAAGAAGATGCTAATGATATCTGTGATAGATATTGCCAGCTGTTCTATTTACACTAGAAACTCCCCCAAAACTTTCCTGGACAACAAAAGAACATCTAATTCAGCCAAAGTAGGCTGTTAGGCATTTCTAAATTACAATTTCTAATATTAAACTCATCTGAATTCCAAAACATGGACCTTTAGAGGTCAAAAATGAATTTTGGGCAAAAAGCACCAACTCCTAGCCTGATCTGAAAGTTAAAATGCTTTCTAAATTATTTTTCAAATCCTGTTTTTCAGAAGAAATGAACATTGAACACAACGAACAGACTGATTTCTTGCAGAATCAATTCAAGATTATTAATTACATTGGAAGGTGATATGATGAGAACGGGTTGTAAGAGATTAATTGAAAATATTGTATTAATGCACTACTACCAGAGGTATTATCTTAACAATATCTGCTCCCTGAAGGGTCCAGGAAAACTCTTCAAAAAACAATTTTGGTTATGACGAGGTTCACATGATTGGAGAATATTCAGAATAATGGTACGTAAAAGACTAGTAAAAGACGTTTTGCTTTTGTCTTTTATGTGAAAGATGTTCCACTGACTACTTTAAAAAAGGTTTTCAGGAGAAACCCTTGAAATCTTATATTTTTGGGGGAGATTTAAAAAGGATGGTGAGTTCTTTACACCTAATGAATTAGCACAACTGGATTAAGTTTCTAAGAAGCCAAAGAGGAAGGAAACTCAATGCAAAAGAACAGATACTGGCATCAGAACAAGGCAAGAACCCCAAAGCTTCTGCAGGTCCTGAGGACTCATCAGCATCACCACACCAACACCTGGATAAATGCCACCTAAATGCCTTTCTGACCATTCATTCACCATGCTTTCCTTCAAGGAAAAAGATAAACAGCCTAGCTACAGACACCTAGAAAACTATCATTATGGGTTCTATTTTTAAACTAGTTTGCTGATTTTTGGCACTGAAGACCGAATGTTATTTTCAAAATGTACCCTGTATCTACAGGACGCTCTAACAAATGGGACCTTTTATTTAAAAGCTACCTTCAGAAAGTCCAGCTTGAAAACTCTCGCTGCACTATTTCATTTGAAATGTTCACTTCCACCCAAGAATTGTTTTGGTTTGATTTTGCTTTTCATAACCAAGCAGCTCCTTGTATCTTTTGCATGTGACTTTGTAACCGCGTTGCTATCTGCTGAATTTCAAAACTCCTATTAAGCTACATTTCTGAGCGTCTTCTGCCCTCTTCATATTTGTGCTGTTTAGTGTGTTCCTGAATCTTTTCATCTGTGGTATACCTAATCCACACCTTTTCTCATTATGGCACATTATCAAAACCAGAAACAACGGACTGAAAAAAAAAACATCTGTGTCTATATTACCGATAGAATAGGACCAGACTTCTCTTGTTGCTCAAATTTTAAGGCTTCAATCTCAAATATTGTAAATATTCCTAAATCACTATTATAAAAAAAATGAAACTCAAGACCACCAGTAGGATACGACTTCCTCTAGATTTAGACTAGAATATTTCAGTTTGCCTGCAGCAAAGATGACTAGTGAATGATCTGAACAAGTACATTCCAGAGTTTTATAACCTCAACATCTAAAGAATGAACAATAAGACAAGAGTTCAGTAAAAAATTCCCTGAGTGAAATACAAGCTCCCAGAGGAGTGGAAAGTTACAGTGAAATTCCATATATGATAATTATTACCTATATTTTGAAGTTATCTTGATTTGTAATAGATCTTATTCTATCACTATTCAGTGGGTCTGCCTCCCCAAAAACGTAAAGCATACAAAAATACCCAGCTTTCCAGGAACTTTTTTTTTTTTTTTTTTGGTAAAAGCAACCATCTTACTATAGTGCACCCTTCGGGATGAGGTGCACAAACACCTGGGACTTCTAATACTTGAAGCTTTCCCTCTGTCCTGTGGCTGATCTGTACTGTAACCATTAAATGCAATGACAAGCACCAAACAACCAACTCAAACTATATTCTCATTTGAGAAACCTTGGTTGTTCACTGCAATGATTTGCAGCTATGGATGCACAGGGACCATACTGAAGAGAGTTCTGTGAGAAGGATTCTCACATAATCACACCTGCAAAAATATCTTAGAATATTTCTTATAACCTGATTGCAAAGAGGTATAAACTGATAGAAGGGAACTCTCAGTGGAAATTGAATTGCATCATATCTCCTATGCCAAAAGATTTATTTTTGTCTTTGAGTCACACTGATGCAGACGTTAGGAATGTATGCATGGCACAGCAGGCACGATGAAACACTCAGTATGTGATCCATAAATCTTGAGTTTAAAGTTGGGGATGGTGCAGTAATGGAGAGGCAAATAAGCTAATCAAAAAGAGCAAATGAAGGTTACACAGATCAGGCAAGTTGGTTTATCACATCAAGAGATACAACAGATGCAATCTTTGGTAGCTCTTATCAAGCTTTCTGCTTTCCTAAATTACATTACTTTTAATTTCAGCCAAAATCACGAAAGGAAAAAAAAATACATGATATATTTGGATGTATAAAGATATCTGGACTCTTAGATGAGTGTGGTCTCCACTAAAATCAGAATTAACACCAGATAACTACACATGCTTACAGCAATTCACCTTTACACTGTACAGAGCTGTTGGCACAGACACAAAAACACATCTGCTGAGATACTAAGACACACAACGCTCATTACAAAATATTATATTAAAATATAAAAAATAACAAATATATTTTACATGCTATTCCTGCTTGGTAACAAAGACAGAAAGACTTACGCATACTACTCTATTGCCATTCAGATAACATAGCTATATACCTGCAAGAAACAGCTGAGATACTTGCCTTTCCATCTTATTAACAAGACTTGATATCTGACTTGCTGCTGCATTTATAAGAGCAGAGGCTTGAGAATCCCATAACTGTATCCTATTTATAAGATATTCTCTGTAAGCAAATCTTCTATTCAGATGATATTTCTTGCTGGCTTGCAAAAAATCCATTAGCTCTTCAATGTCTCCCTAGAGAAAGAGTATGAACAAACATATCCCAGTAGATGTAATGTTAAATTCAACCATCACCTGTTAGTATCAGTTAGACCAAATTTATATATTAAATAAGGCAAAGTCAAACAGCTCTTACAAATAAGAAACAATGAGCTTATATTAACTTAAATCTAATGATCACATTAAATTAGTACCGTTACTTCAATAAAACAAAATAATATACTAAGCTGCTTTTCAAACATTGCTTTGTAATCTTCAGGACTTAAACTATCATATGCTTTTCTTCAAGAAGCAGCCAGAATAACAAAACCCAAAACAATGGCTTCCAACACTCACTGACTAAAAACAGCTTCTAGGAAAAAAACACAAAATGCTGTGTTGCAAGAGAATTAAAATATAACTAGAAATAAAACTGAAGTCCTGACCATATCTTTCCACAGCATCCCCCACCATGTAAGCTGGGAATTTTCAGCTCCTTAAAATACAAAGCACTTCGGATATATCACAATTTCAGTAATTTACAGATTTATACTTTGAGACAGAGAGTGCTCAGTACATCTTCTGAAGTCTGGAAGAGCAGCTGATGCCTAGCATGGTTGGAAAATGTCAGTATGCTGCCTCCGTCTCTTTTCATGGCCCAAACTACTTTTGAAAATGGCACTTAAGCATTTCTATGGCATAGCATATCTATAGATCTACTATGCTGCATCTTCCAGATCTGGATATGATAGATCTGGAAGCAGAAGTTTGCTGTGTGACACAATTCGGACTATACTGGGGACTCTGAGGAAGAGCTGCCCCAAAAGAGTGACCAGGAGAGAGGCAGGGTAACCTCTTCCAAGCTCCAAGCTTAGCAAGACATCCACATCAAAACTGGGGATTTCCAACGCCCAGTCTCCCACTGCACAGTGTGGGCATCATTTTAGACTTAGCTCTGCCACATGATGCAATTGAGCTCTTGCTCTTATCTTCTCCGAGCAGTAAAGACAAGCTTTTAGCACTCGGCTGCTTTGGAAATATTACCCATTAATATAAAAGGCAGCATCAAGTGCACATTGCTGTGGTAAAAACATTTAACTCGTATGATTATAGAAGGATGCTGTGCAAGTGCATTAACACACAGCTGCTTAGATGTCTAAATATGCATAATAATGAGGTTATGTTTTATTAAAAATTATTCCTGTGAAGATAAGTTATAAAAGTCACACACTTTTAGGCCTCTAAGGGCAGACATTTCCTGAAATGTTTCCCAAAAGTTACAGTGGGTTGGTACTCCCTCATTAGGTGAGTAACGGAGTTATTATCCCATTACCTGTATTTTAGAGTAATCTTGCACTAGTACTTTAGCTGCTTCTAACTTCAATTCTCCCTTGAAAATGGCATTTGTTATCTGTGTAAAAAAGATGTTATGCAGCTCCTTTCTCCTGGAAATAGCCAGTTGTCTATAAGCCTTGGCAAAATACTCCTCCTGCTTTACCAGAAGAAACCTCTTCAAGTGGTCCTGCTCCAGGCTGTGAAGTCTATCCAGAAGACATCTGTACTCTACAGCTGGCTGTGGAGATGAGAGAAATTAATACATCTGAAGTGATTCTCAGTATTTAACATATTTTAAAGGATCAATGTTTGTAGCTCATATATATTCCATGCATACTCTGATTACAGTCTTTTCATAATGAAGAGGGCTGTACTACATTCAATCTATAACCCAAATAGCATTTCCAAGGCTAGTGAAAGCTTTTAGAATTGAGGAAGCATTCTTTAAGATAAATTGTACAAAAACTACATGAGATTCCACACAAATTGACTATATGCAAAATGTATTTCTTATGCTTCACCAATTCTGAAATCTTATTAAAACTAAACATAGTTATATAAATCAGGGTAATGAAATAACAATAAGCATACATTTTTAAACATTATAAATTAGAAAAATCTATTCTGCTGCAGATCCATAAAAGTTCTTTATATCTGAGTGACCTACTTTATCTATTGATTTCTACAAATTAATCCAAAAGCATCAGCTTAGAGTTACAACAACAGAAGAGAATTAAATGGCAATTAATTTTAAAGCTTCTTTGCAAAAATAATTTCTCATAGTTCTTCAGCAACTTAATAGTTGTAATCTCAGATGGCATAAACTCATTTAAAATCAAAGCACAGATGTTCTACAGAGCAAAGAAGGCTTCTTATGCCAGCAGAGCTATCTAAGAGTATTTATGTTGGTCTTGTTCTAAATTTCATACTATGTATCTGTGGAGAATTATCCTCTGCACTGAAAACTGCATGCTCAACCCCTCATTCCCAGAGGGGCACATTGCAGGCAACTCAAAATTAATCAGAGAGGCCCAGAATACACAGTCTGCTCTGGGCATTATTTTCTGGACTGCAAATAACCACAATGATGCCAGTGTAGGCACTCACTGTGTTAGAAATTATATGTATATGTATATATACACACTGAACCCCTTGGAGCGCTAGGCTGCTGTAACACTAATGCATTTCCCAGGCAAGGGTGGGCACTGCACCAGGAAAGCTCTGCACAGCTGGGAGAGCAGGACCACCAAGGCACCAGAGGCAACCGAGTATCAACATGAAACACAAACTCTAACAATACCCTTGTCCTCCTCCTATGCTATCATAAAAGACCATGTAGGATTACTATAAACACTTTTTTTTTCTAATTTAATTAGATCATCATTATTAGTTCTATTAGTTCTTACACTTCTGTAGGACAAGCAGTGTGTTTATCATACAAACTCATGGTAAATTTTGCAGGTAAGCTTTGCTCTGCCATCACAAACTGACAATTTGGATGCTCATCATTATTACTTTCAGAGAACTGTTTGATCATACTAGACCAAACCCATCTTTATTATAGTTGAATAAATTCATTTTGATAAACGATGTGGTTAGAAGGCATAGCTACAGTGGGGAAACATCTGAGTATTTATTGAATTTTCTGTAATGCTTTTCAACAATAATGCTGACAAATGCATCCAGAGAAGAGCAACAGGAGTATAAAATCACCTGAGAGGAGAGAGGTACACAGTTCAGCTAAGTCCTTAAAAACTACCAAGGAGTAGTTCATAAAAATGAAAATGACAGAGTGAAAAAATATGCAGACAGACACACACTTCTCACTGTCAGGACTTTCAGTCACTTTCAGGACTTTCTGATTTCCCCCCAGTAATTGTTAGAAAATAGTTTTTGATACTAAGTTAAGCTGGAGGGGATGAGGGGACAGACACTTTTACAACTCAGCTCAGAGATGTCCTTTAACAGCAGCTATAATTTGTTAAAAAAATCATTAACTTCAAGTAAAGGATTCTCCTTGTCCTACATATTCTTCTCTAAATATGTCTCTGTCCAACACACATTCTTCTCTGTCCAATACACATTCTTCTCTGAAATAAGAACCAAAAACAGCTGAGGTTTTCAGAAGTATTAAACTGGAATTCATTCTTCTATCCAAATTTGTTCAACAGGCAGACCACTTTTGAAAACTACCTTCCTGAGTAGGATTTAGACCATCTACTCACCTCTCTTTCTTAACTCCACCCTACCTTGCCACACAGCTGCTTCTCCTTTCATCCACACTCCATGACTCTGCAGTACACCAGGTGACTTCTCTAACCGTTTTGTGTAGGTTTCAGGGAAGTACAAAAACTGGTTTTGTCTATTTCAGTGATTTTTGCTTTATTCTTTCACAAAGCATGATCACTATGAAGATAATTGGTGATCGGAATGCAAATAACAATAAAGAAGTAAACAAAAAACAGAGCCGGACAAGAAATGTGCTGGTCTTAATCAATGTTGATTTCACGCCAGATTTACCTTTTCATTCACTTTTTTCATTAATTCTTCAGCCTCTTCATTTGCAGCTCTTTCTTTTTGGTGTTGAGATTCCATTTTCTTCCTAGTTTCCAGATTACATTCAGCTGTTAAAGCCACCATCTTTCTTTCATACTCTTCCTGAATCTCTTTCTCCATGGCAAGAAACTGCTTTTTGAAAACTGAACTCATCCTCTTCTCCACATGAGGAAAGAGACTGTGACTGAAAACCATATTCTTGATCATCATAGCAATCGCTTCTTTACACATCTGCACTCGATATGTCTCCAAATCAGCATCTGTCCGAGTCAGGCTGGCAACCTCCAAGCTGTGGAGAGGCAATCAGGTCTGTCAGAAGTCTCAGACTATGGGAAATTTCTAACATAAATCAAGGATAACTAGATTCATTCAATATTGTGAAACCAAATGGCAGAGAAGCTCAGGAATATCACAGCACATGAGCCTGCTAATCATGAAAATAGTAGTAATTCATCAAAAAACAGAGCAAGCCAACTTCTACTATAGTGATTTCACTGAAATATGAATGTTCTTACATTCTATTCTAGACAAAGTTTTTTCTTTAGAACTGAGAATTTCCCTCAGTTCAAAGGCAAACATAAGCATCCTATACAGAACAACTTTGGCGAGAACCCCGCTGCAGACGCAATGGACTGAACGGAGCATAAATTTCACTGATTTTGTAAAATACTTCTAAGCTCCCACATCCATCTATACTAGTGCATTAATGCTTCATGTTCTGCTCCAATATATTCCTTTCTCTAAATAGAAGAGGAAAGACTGTTTAATTATTTGCTAATACAAACAAATTAAAATAGCTGTATCCTCTTGTGAAAGCTAATAAAGATTAAGGGAAAAAAAGATTAAAAACAGACAGAAATATTTTTTATGAAATGGAGTAAATGTCATGTTGCATATGAAGAGATTCTCATTTATCACTTAATTAAATCAGAAGGACAATTATTCTCATTTCATACAGTACATATCCATTGTAAATTCAGTATTTCTGCCAATTCTGCACTCCATTCAGGATTGGAGAATTAGATTGGTCTCTGCACGCCAATATATCTGAATGCATAGCACTGTATCTTCCTGTGTGCAGAGCAAGCACACAGTAAGTTCTCTGTGACCATGCCATCAACATCTTAAATCCAGCTCAAGCTCATTCTTTTTTTAGTTAGGTTAAACTATCAGATTGATCTGCTCTGTAGGCAAACCTTGGAATAAATTTCAAATGCTATAGCAAAGGTGCTAAGAATATTTACAACATAGTAGAGCAACAAAATGTTCAGAATGTTTTATATCAGACTGAACAAATCCAGAAACAACTCACATTGTTGTCAAGCAGTTTTTCTTTCCTTATATAACCAAATAAATTTTAACTAAAAACTGCTGATATCATTATCACTGCCCCTCTGTTAAACACAGGGGAGATATTTTGTGCATTTAAAATTGATGACACGACATTAAGTTCTTTTTGTTGTTGTTTTTTACTCTAATACCTTCAAAATATAGAGGAGATACTAATTTAAGGTATGTTAGTCAGTCATAAAGAAGCAGAAAGAGGTTTTTGCTGCCACCTGTGAAAACCCCAGCAGCTCACTGCCAATGTCTGGTCCAACATGTGTCCTGGTAGCCCAACCAGGGCTAGTTGGGTCACATCAGCTCCGGTCCATGCTCTCCATGAGCTGCTCCTCTAGGAACAGGCTGGCTATACACGGGATGTGCAACACTTGAAGTGACTTCCTGGCATGATTTTCAGGTCTCTGTGCCTCCTCATTCATAAATTCATAGTTGCTCATAAAAGAGAAATGTTCCCCTGAAGACACTTTTGCCCCATGCATGTCATGGGACAGCACTGACTGGAGCTGAATTCAAGCTCCTCAGCTTAAAACTTCTTCCTAACATTTGGTGAGGGGAGGAGTGCAAAACTCATTGCTGCTGGTGGCCAGATCCCTTCTGAGCTGTACGCAACCCCATTCCATGCTCGAAACATTCTTAATGATACAAAGGACCTCTAAAAGTAAAATAGAATTTTACTTTCTCTAATGTCCCCAAGACAGCAATCCAGCTTACCTGCGCTGCGTGCAAATGGACAACGCAAGAGGTCACCTGCAGCCAAGTCTCGGCTGGTGTTGGAGGGCCAGCACAACTAGGTCCACAGGGCCCACTCCCAGGGCCCCCACAGCCCGGGCCTGAGCCCTCTCCTGGGGACAGCCCTGCATGCTCTGCTCCCCAGAAAGCACTGAAGCACCAGCAGCAAAGATGCGAATTTTATATCTTAGTCCTCTGTTTGCAGAAATCTTAGGACTTTCTTCTGCGTGTCTAACATTGAGGGTAGTCTGAAGAACACTCCTAAGCGGCTCCACGGATACAGTTTTTAAGTCAGAGATATCTACAGGTGTCTTGTCAGTACATATCAGAGAACCTCAATATATCATATAACAAATGCTTTCAGTTTCAAGGTCCTCAGAAGAACAATGCTTACAATTACCCACATTAAACATGCAGGATTTTGTGACACCTGGGGAAAAGAAAAATCATACCGTGACACTCTGCATCCTTCAAACCCAGGCAGATTTAATAAGTTGCTTTAAATGCTCTGCACTCCTCCTGTTACAGCAATTCATGTTTGAAAGGTCTCACATCTCTTCCTGAGCATACTCTCCATAATAAACACATGAAAGATAACAAAGTACCATTAGCAGATGGCAATCCGCTGATGAAAAAGATCAAAGTTTCTCTTGGGCAAAGCATGCAGACAAAGGAGGAGAACAGTACAGAAAGGCAGATAATAGGAAGGGGAGGAAAAAGGAAAGGTGAAAAGACATGTAGGAAATGAAGCTGCAGAGGCCAAGCATAAAGATTTTTAACTCACTTGAAGAGGAAGAGGGTTTAAAGATCTGCCAGAGAAGAACTGGGAAAAGAGAATCCCAGACGTCAAACACAGCGAAGTAGCGAGAGTGCCTGAAGGCCTGATGTCTTCCATAGACCTAATGAAAGAATGAAAGAACAGGACAGCAACGAGTGTCAGGAAAAAAGCATGGATGGTTAATTAGATAAAACCGGAAACTTCCCACTGACAACAAAATCACTATGCTATTAAGTCTTATTATTCATATTACAGGCCCACAGAGGGAATTTTGGAACAGGAGAATTAACAGACGCTCAATGCATTAGTCTTAAAAAAATAAAACAAACTAATGTCTGACACATTTTTTAAATTAAGTGTTCCGGAAGATAAGAAACTCCTGCAACAATTTTCTGAAGTCTAAATGGGAAACAAACATCAAACACACTCCCCACTTTTGCAGCGTTTTCTACCAAAACAGGAAAAAGCTTGTTTTCCAAAGACTCACTTCTCATCTGCCAATTGCAGCCAATTAGCAGCACACACATTGCAGCAGCATCCAAAGGAGGCCGGGCCCCCGCGACCGCCATTTCCACAGAGGCTCCGGCAGCGCGTGCAGGGTAAGGCCATGGGAGATGGTCTGTGTCACCACCACCCTCCAAGCCCCCAGGAACGCAGAGGGGACAAGCAAGGACAAATGAGCAGCATGGCCTCCACTCCAGCGCCAGGAAGGAGCTCAGGGATGAAAAAAAGGTGATGCATCATCTGTGTTGCCCTGTCGCACTTCAGGGAAGCAAAGGCTAACAGAGGAATCCCTTGCAGGTCAGAAGCGAGTCTCACACACCCAGGTCTTGAAACTGTACCTTTCAGGAGTCACCAAAGTCACCAGAGAAAGTCAAGTGAAGTACGACTGCCACGAAGGGGATTAAGCTGCAGGAGTGGATTGCTTCCTAAATCGTACATTTACTGAGGGATCAGTAATACAATACTAGCAAGCCAGGTCATGTTTGTTTTTATTTTTTAAAAAAGGGACTTTTTTTTTTTAAAAAAAGTATCTCGACTGCTTTGGAGATTTCTAGCACCAAAGTGTCCTACTATTAAACAGCGCTGCTCTTTTACCAAATATCACTTCTAAGATTAGAAACAAAGGAAAAGAAAAGTTAACAGGCAGCACCTATTTCCAGCCCAGGGCTGGACAGGTGCAGAGCCTGTTGCCTCTGTGCAGGTTCTGCTGCTGCTGCTGCCTGGGGCAGCCCATGCTCCTTGCAGGAACCCTGACGATGCTCCTTGCTGCACCAGGAGCTCGCGGCCAGCTCTGAACCGAGGACCAGTTCATCCATCAGGCCTGGGACACCGTTACAGTGTCACGTACACTCAGCACAGCCGAAATGCGGGGGTACGGAGAACACAGGCATCCTATAAATAAATAAAACTGCTGTGAAAAGTGTATAGTGATTATCTACAGATGCTCTCACATGGATGACTCACAGGTAGATTTCGTTTCGCAGAAAAAGGAAATAATCCAAGACAGTGGCAAAACCATAAATAGGGTTTCTATGATATATAACCTCCCTGCCACTTCCTCTCCTCCCCAAACAGCAGAAAAAAATGACAAAATGAGCTCAGAAATCAGTAGCTCTACTTTAGAAAAACAAAAATTCACAAACAACTACCAACAGCCTAACACTAGATTTACTGTCAGTTTCATTAACAAATTCTTTTAACTCTCCACAGCATTATAAAGAAAAGGTAAAAAAAAAATCTTAAATTAATCCGTTTAAAATCATTCAAAAATTAATCTTAAGAGAACTTTATTTGATTACAGAAAGATAGTATTAAAAGTGATAGTGACAGATTAACGATTTTCATTTTAAAAATAAAACCAACTACAATACAGTAATTATTGCAGCAGAGGTCAGAGAATGGTATCTCATATTAACAAAAGCTACTATGCAAAAAGAGAGTAAAAAAGACTCTTATCCTGATTCCAGTGACATCATCACCCATTTTATCACTGATTTCAAAAGAAATCAGCCTGGATAGCAACTAAAAAAAGCATGAATAAATATTATGGCATTACACATGATGCCTGAAGAGCTTCCAGCTTCACTGGGATCTACTCAGATTCCACTGATCTATGCAGACTGGATGAACACTCAGATGTCAGAAAGGGTATGAGCAGACTGATAAATCTTCTTGCAAAGTAGTACAGAATAAAGCTTCACTAAATCAAGATTTGTTTGTTTTGGAATAAGAGAAGCTACTCTAGAAGATAAGCAGAAATGATCCATAGCATTCTGAACATGACTTCTTCATGGTTAACCTACATTAAAGATGTGTCATTTTTAAATGAGGAAAAAAAATGTATCCATTGATTTCAAATGAGTTATTTTCTTCTTTTTTTCCTCTCTCACAAAATCATTCCTACTACCTACTAAGCACTTGAGTTTCGCAGAGAGAAAAAAAATATATTAATTAGGTACATGTCTGGTGTATAACAGCATCGGCAACAGAACTGCAGGGCTTAAGGTGCATTGCATGTGCGTTCACTGTTACAGCCATCTAATTATTATTTAATATTGTATTCCCACATCCAAATTCCTGGAATTGTATCTAACTTTACAAAAACAAAGAATATGTCTTCTCTCCAATTTTTTTGAAATTTCTCTTATATAATTTAAAAATGACGAATGAGTGAAATTAGCACCTCCATTTTGTTTTACTGACAATGCAACCATCTGTCAACATTTTTTTATTTTTAAAAAATGTTCATGATGACACCATGATCTTTTATTCTTACTATTTGAATTCAAGATTTTAAAAAAAGAACTAAAACAAACAAACAAACACATTTGCTCCATAGCAAATTAAATTGAGATGTACAACAAGAAATGTACATTTAGAAGAAAAAGTGAACTTCTAATATAGTAGTAAATTCTTTTCAACTTTCCTGTCAAGACTCTCTGGGAAGCAGCAAATGTACATTTAGAAGATTAAAAAAACAACAACAACAACAACAAAAAAAAAACACTGTATGCCTATTACTTAATGATTTGCCAAAATAATTGGCTATATGTATTATGTATGAGCAAAAAGGCTTAAGTTCAGCAAGATATTCACCTTGAGCCTATCCCAAGTCAAGCACGGCTGTACAAAATGAGAATGGAAAAGAAAAGCTGGAGTCAAAGTCATTTAAAATTGTTCCTTTCAAACATCTCCGTCTTCTGAGACTACGCCATAGCGGCCAGACTTGAGCACATTAGGCACAAAAGCAAACTGCTCTGTTATCTTTGCATTCTGTTCCAGAACTAAAGCAGAGTTTACACTTTACACTACAACACTGTGGAACATGATTTTCTAGTGCCCATGTCAAATATTCAAATACAAAGAATAAGAATATTCAACTAAAAATAGCTTCTTCTCATTAGCATTCATTGCCAATGGACCAATATTCAGGAATACACACAGGAAGGAACCTCCTGAGAATAAAAACCAAATTACTTTGCTGCATAATGTGCATCAAGGATATGACTTACTAAGGTTAAACTCACAAAACATGTAACTAGAAAGTTTTCTTATGAAATATTTAAAAATGTTTTGTTCTCTAGACAATCCTCCTCAGAGTGCAAACTGCCTTCATTCCAAAGATATCCCTGTGCATAAATATTGATCACATCCTCCTAAAGTATTTGCTAAACAAATTGGCACTGCCACTTTACAACAGACATGAACTATTAACTTAGCTTTATATTGTAAAGAGGACAAAAATAAAATCTGTCAATCTTAAATTTTCTGAATAATTTGCTCATATTTAGCTGCACAACAGAATACACTGGAATGATTCCAACTGTTTTTCTATCACAGCATGTTTTAGGGAGAACATATCAATCATGAGGGCAGGCTTGTATGTGTACCACATAGCGAAAATGACAGGTAGCTGAACCAACACATGGAGAAGAAATTAGCAAACCAAAACATGCTCATTAATTTATATCTATTTTAGAAGTTGGCTGAAAATATCTAAAATATCAAAAGGTCTCTAACAGAAACCCTGCATTTTTGCATCCCCAAATATTAAACACAAGATTATGATGCTGGAATTCACATTCAGCATAGACATGACAGGAAAATACACAAGTCCAATTCTCACCCTCAGTGTACTGGCCATTCCTGTGAGACAACTCTGATCTCATCCCCACTTCTTTACAGCTTACAGAACTATCTACTGAAGTATGAAGCGTCAGAAAAAAAGCATCTGTTTTACTGAGTGACACTAAATGTAATAAAACAAAATGCAAAATGCAAAGAAAATAAATGACTCTGTGATCAGAGCTATATAAATTATTACATGCTTTTCAAGTACAGAATCTATTCAGACTGACTGTAATTACTCATAAATGAGTTAGGAGCACACATTCTTCCTTTTTCCCCTTACATTTTGCAAAGCAATATCCTTAAACCAGCTAATTCAATGAAAAATAAGAATTACTCTCCAATTCTCATACTCTGCTTTTAGCATAGATAACTGTCATATAAACCTATACAGTATCAGCTTCAGAATTGGCTAAAAAACAGGATAAAGCACAACAATTTATAAAGCACTTATAAAGCACAACAATGAGATGAAACCTGTAAGGAATTTAGACCAGAAGTTAAAGGAGTGCTTTGCATCGAGTTGTAGAATGAATGAGAAACTAAGATTAAGAGAAGGGAGCTTCTCTTATGCAACTTGTAACCTTTTGGATGATCAGCTTGCAAGAAGGGGTTCATCACACCTACCGCCTGACAGCTACAGGTAAACTCATCAGTCCATGCTCCAGACTGGAAAGCCAGTGGGTGCAGCTGCTGTTTGACATTTTTCTAGCTGTCTACCCCAGGATGCAAAGAGTCAAACCACAGAAGTGAATCGTATCCTTTTTCATCACCAAGTACAAAAAGGAATTCAGAGCAATTTAGTGTAGAAGCCCACACTACAGTGACCTTCATATGGTCAGATATATTGCACTACCAATAACAACTGACAGGAACACATACGTAGCTACTGAATAGATGTTATTGTCAACAACATTGCGGTTCTTTCCTCTTCCTCCAGGGAAGAGAACAGAAGTCGGGAGGGGGTGTGAAGGAACTGTCCTACAAAAGGCGTTGTCTTCCATATCCAGAATAAAATCAAGCTCTTAAACACCTTACAAACTTCTCCTCCTTCCTGTGGCCACTGAAATCCTGAGCAAATTGCAAGTCTGATAAATAATTACATTAATTTAAAATGAGCCAAAAAAAAATCTTCTTTCATTTCTAGCCCACAATTCTTATAGGCCTCCCAAGATCCACATTAGAGAAACGGAGAGTGTTCGAAATGCAGTTCTGGTAAAGACTTCATCCAATACTTAAAATAAGCTAATAACAATTGCAAAGCATGTTATGATATAAAGTCACACAGAGCAGAATGGCTGCTGGGCATAGAAAGCTCTAATCAACACCTGAAGACTCGTCAATAAAGACGCACTTGTCAAATACGTTCCCAAAAGAGACACAAACGAATTCAAGTGCAGCACACAGATAAATCCCTGAAATCCCTTTTTTTTTTTAAACATCCAAAGACACATTACATTTCTGTTTTCACATGAAAACAGAATTCAGTTTTGAGGCTTTTTTTGATGTAGTACTGTCAAACTTGTGTGACTTAATAATTGAGATCCTACTGGGCACCTTCACTGCCTTCACTGAGGCCTGTTCCTAACCAGCACCTGATTTGTGGCCAGATTTGACTTCATACAATCAGTCACAAGGATGACCTGCAAGAACTCCACTCATACAACAAAACAAACCTTGGTCTATCGATATTCTCCTATACAGTAACCCAGTCTTGCTATGAGAAGATGTCTTATATTACAGAGCAAAATTATTTAAAAAAGAAAAGGTGAAACTATTAAACAAAAGAAACTTTTGAAATAGAAGGAGACAAAGCAATCTCATTTAAAAAATAATTGTGAGAAAAAAAAGAGAAGGAAGAGACATTTGTGCCAACTGCATAAGAATATTAAAAAGCTATAGCCCTAGGACAAACATTCAGACTGAGAAATGAATCCTGTTTTTATGGTTTTTTGGTTATATAAATAATTCAGTTACATAAATAATCCTATCCGAAGATTTGCAGGAATATTTACCTTTCCAAACCACAACATATCTGAAAATAAGGCATTAAATAAATACTCTAGTATTTTTGTTAAAATTAGCTAGACATTCTCTACTTGTATAATAAGTTAATACTATAGAGAGAGAAAAATATTCTTGATCCTGTTGTTTTGGACACTCACATAACAATTTTCAGGATAAGTCTCCTCAAACTCTGCACTACTATATAGTTATAAAAGTAAGGACCAATGTGCAATTTACAAAGATTAATATCCCAACTACCAAGGAAATGCAGGAAATAATAATTCAGTTACACTTTAAGAAGGAAAAATAATTCCATGCTCCTGTAATTTCTGCTTTCAGCTTCTACAGATTTTATAGTTGCATAATACTGCTTGTAACCTGACTTAGCAGCAGCTAACTGTAAGATTTACCAACAAAATACAGTTCATCACACCTTTTTTCAAATTCTGCTGAATGTTTCTGTCATATAATCTTGGCTTGCCTTTCAACAAAATAGGAGGGTTTCTCTGCTCTATCCAGTGGTCCTAATTTCATCTATGCGATATCTTTCTGCTGGCACTAAACTGTCACTCCTTGGATTCCAATCCAAGTGCTTCCAAAAGATGCTGCTGCACAAAAATGCTGGCGCCCAGCAGGGCTCCACTCTTCTAGAACGAAAGCCGCACTGTTTTGAGAGCTGCATGTGTTAGGTGATAGCAAAATAAACGCTTTCAACATGTTTGTACCTAGAAAAGTTTTCCTTTACATTATGAACCACAGAGAAGCAAAACTATTTCACCTAAATTTGAATATTTACATGTCTAAAGTCTAGATGGAGCTGTAATTCATATGGGTAAAGCAATGTAAAATATGACAATTTTCAGTTCCCACAGATGACTATCTAGTACTGTTCAAAATCATGAAATGCTGCAGTCATATGTATAAACAGATCCTATGAAAACAAAGATACTCAAAATATTTTTTTTAAATGTAACGTAAGAGGAGTAAATTCTTACTCTTCCAAAGCTTGAAGCATGTGTCCAGTTTCTTCAAAAGACAGTATATCGATGAACTGGTCATTCATAATTAAATCTTCACTAAAGAGATCACTCGAATTAAACTGGGAGTGCTCCAGTTTGTGATTTTGACAGACTTCAAGACGTGGCTCCTAAAAAAATATAGCAAAAAAAACAAACAAACAAACTTTAGTTTATAAAGATTTTACACTGAGAGCTTAATCTTATTTTACTGTAGGTACCACTGAGTTAGTGGGAAAACTACATTTATCATCAATCTGTAGAGCCAGATAGAGTGTAAAGAGATTGTGTAGTTCAAGTGTGGACGTAGGATCAAATATACTTCCATAACTGTTTCAGGTTGAACTTTTTTTTTTTTTTTTATGTAACCAACCAGTAGTACAAATGAAGAAATAAATGCAGAGGACAGAAAACTCTGTGTTGACTCCAGTAGGCTTGCAAAAGCCTTCTAAGTGGTTATATTCCACTATAAACTGCTAGGAAATTTAAGAAAGAATTACTATGGAATACACATTATATATGGCAAAACTGAAGCATTATGAGGTGAACAAAATGAAATACTAATCCTATGAGGGATGGAAGTGACTCAGCTAGTTCACAGGTCAGACAGACTCCCTTTAGACTAATAAAATCACTATACAAAAGAGTTGCTATAAATATCTGATGCTGGGACCAATTTGCTCCGTTTTTATCATTTCATTATCATAGCCTTTTCTACAGAAAGAAACAAGGCGAGGCCTTTCCATTACAGAGATTATTTCTTCATCCCTAAGAGAAACGAGAATTGCTAACGGAGTAATTTTCAACCGTAAAGAACAAGGTGGGAAGTGATTTTTCTGAGGTCATCCACTCCATTCATTGGCAAAGGACAACATGCACCCTGCACACTGAGACAGGCCTATCTCTAGGCAGAATAGTTATTCGAAATAGAAAAAAAAAAATCGCCCGATTGTGTCATTTCTGAAAAATACCAGAAAACACCAAATGAATTATCCATGGAATAGAAACCACAAAGAAAATACATCTTTCTCCCCTACATTTTACTGCTTTGCTTAATGATATACAGATGACCTGGCACATGTATTTTCTTTAAAATATATTGCATGGTATTAAAAGTTACATCTGACATAGCATTTTCACTTAGAGATAGGAAACCAATATTTGTATTTGCAAAAAGTCAAGCCTACACAGCTAGTCTGGGAACAAGTAATCATCATCAAGACTGCCTGGGCCTCTGCCATATGCTGCACCCCACTGTAACTCTTCCCAGATGAATTTCCAAGCACAGCAACTTGTAATAGCCAACATCTCCAAGAGCTGCCCATTCCCATTTCCAAGCATCCCCAAGTGCTGTTGGACATCACCATAAGCAGAGCACATTGGCATGAAATATCCCAGCAGGGAGAGCAGCAACCACCACACAGGTAAGGAAAGGACCTGGAGAGACCATCACTGCTCCGGGCTTGGTGCATTGGTTCTCCCAGCAGAGTAAACCCCAGAGGAATCTGCATCCTCCGAAGTACATTTCCCACCCAGGACTGCCTCTGGCTCCTCTAAATGTGCCAAAGTGCTACATTCTTCCCCAAGGGCTGCAGCTAAAGGGCTGGTTAGATTTAGAGGCAGTTTGCACAGGAGGAATAAAAACCTGTCACAGCTCTCCAGGAAGCAACAATGTCTAAACCAAATCTTATTCTGTTTACCCTTCTTGGACAATATCTTAGAAATCTTTCTACAGACACTTCCCTTATATACTCAAATGCCCAGAAAGGTTTAATTTGTAAAAGTCAGATCATTAGCAAAGAAAATTCACTACATAATCTAAAGGTAGAGTTAGCAATACAGCTACCTCTGAAATTTCTGTCAGTGTGAACAGTCTCAATTTGAGAGCGCCAATAAGCACAGTTTATACTGCCCCTAAGCCCCAGACACAACATGTTTCTCACCTCTATCATGTTTTCCCAACTTAAACACAGAGATACACCAAGATATTGACCTTGACCATTCCCAGTCAAAGAGTGAAGCTACCCAGTGGTCAGAAACTTAGTGGAACATAGGAGACTCACTGTTACTTGTCAGTGTGGAGATTCAGATCTTCCAGCATCTACTCTCCTAGAGGACTGTCCCGATCTTTGTGATACTCTGATTGAGGTCTCCAGCTCTCCTTTGTGGAAGTTATTCCACTACACCTAAATTTTTCAGTAATTAATAAAAGTCAGGTCTCCAGCTTGGGCCAACCTGACAAATATTTAGCAAACTCTGTATTTTCTCCTCTCTGTGACCCAGTAGGCACTGAAATACTTTCCAAAAACTGTCAGAGCTTAGCTGAAGAACACTGGCAGTGCTTCATCCACAAACCCAACTGTTCTGCTCAATCACAGAAGAGAATCGGGTATGTCTGGAGAACTGAGACCTACATACAAATCCCTGTTCTTGATGATCCGCAACATAATTTGGACTTAAATCTGCTTCAGTCCAGGAGGGTGGTCTAGTTTCTCACATGCCTGAGACATCCTGCCTCTCATACTGGGGGAGGAGGGAGTGAGGAGGAAGAGGAGGAGAAAGAAGGAAAGCTAAGAATCAAAGAATGATCTCCTTCATCCTGATCTTGAACATCCATATCCTGAGAGCAGCTCTTTCAACCAGATTATCATTCCTTCACTCCTCTGCAAATCTGATTATGCTAGATATACATATCTGAGAATCTAATGTAGTACTTGTTGCATTTTTGGTTTCAAAAATTATTTAGACAACCTCTATTGGTTAGTAAGTTATTCATCAGATATGACTGATGTGGAAGTTAAATGAAGTGTTGTTAAAAAGGTACGACTCACCTGTGTTTTACTACGGAAACTCCATTTTAGTATTTGCGTTCGGTAAACAATACATAAAACCACACATGTCAATACAAAGGAAACAAGAAAAGCAATGAAGAACCCTGCAGCATGGATGCCATGGCTGTATGAAATCTGAAATGAAAAGGCTGTATTATTAAAATGACATTTTAAATACACACCTGAAGATCAGACTCAAACATTACAGCAACGCAATATTTTATTTTTAAATGGCTTTACACAACTTAGCAGCTTCTCTGTATGAATTTGCCCAGTTCTACCAATGCTTTCAAATGTTGTCAGGGTTCTCCACCATGTTCTCCAAGTCTAAATGACCACATAATTCCAAACAACAAAATTCAGTCTGCTGAGTTCTAGGTGATGTGACTTTTCAGAGGACAATCAATCTCTCCTAATCCTGATTGAAACTGATGTCATTTGGCATGGCTCAGAAGCTCTGGAAAATCAGCCCAGTGTTGGCTACCCTTTTAAACTCAACAAAACTAAGTAATGAAAAAAAGCATAAAGTACCATTATGAGTTTAGAATAAATATGTAACTGACAGTTGATGAAACTACCCAATTTGTTTCCATACTTGCAGTTTCTCCATGAGCCAAAGTCAATAAATAATAGCAGGAGTACATGAACCACAAGTCAGCTAAATTCTCAGCAGGCCTTGCAGTTTAGGTATTAATATAGTCTTTAAATTGAATTACATTAAAAATTACTTTTACTTCATGCTCCATGTAGCAGAAGTTAATTCAATGTTAGTTTAGTTCTTTAAGATCTTCAGAAGAAGAACATAGCATAGCCATTAGTATAATGTTTCACCACAAAATAATCTCTCTGCTGGGGCTAGAACTTGTAAATAATTAACATGCTGCTCACAAGTACGTTTTATCATTTCTCACAGCAGAAATCTCACAGCATTCCACGGAGTCCAGGGTAATTCTGCATAGGAGGTATTAATCTAATTTGTGGACAACATTTGATTTATTCCAAATGAATGGTAGAATTTGATCCTTTTACTGCCTATTTAGTGTATGTCTGATACATGTTTATTATATCTCTCTTAATGTAAGACTGCTTCATGCTAGGCTTTCTTGTTTATAGGTCCAGATTCCCAAAGCCTCAGTCCTCACTATTTCGATCTGATTTCAGTAGAATTTGACTATGGTGTCAGTATTGACATTATGAAGTCAGTGTCTTCTTGACATTAAGAAGTCAATAGAACCTATTATTAACCATTTCCAAAGTTTCAGAAATATCCATGGCTGAGCAGTCAGTCAACAATTGTTCTGCCTGACATAAGTGTAGGCTTTTTTTTTTTTTTTAAGTAAATCATATAACAGACAAATACGAAATCAAACCACATAGAAGTTGATAGGACCAACATAGCAGGGCACTTGTACCACTGCATAATTAATTCTTTACCTTCCTATCTCAAAAGTCCAAAGTAAGTAAGTCCAAGTAAGTATCTAATTAAGCATCCAGATAGGAGTATCTATACATTGGCTTCATCGCACACATGAATAGTCGCAAGTATTTACTTTAATAAAAAACTACATGAGAAGCACTTATGACACCTGACAACCAAACACCTCACTTTTTTTTTTTTCAGCAGATAGTAATTTTCTTGCACAAACTGCTTTAACTTGGAAACATTTCATGTTTGCCCAAAGGCAAACATTATACATGGGAAACATGAAGCATACCATGATTTCTAAGCTTCGTTTTTTTTCAGACAGTGAGAGTATTCTTCACACACCTTTTCCATATATGTTAATTAAAAACTTCTTCATTTATTCAATTCAAATACAGCTACACAAATTTACCTAATTATGGAATTGTAAAAAAGACCTTGTGGAAGTCTACCTGTCAAGTTAGTCAAAAATCTAGTATACAGCTTTAAATTTACAGTAATATACACTAGAAATTTCCACAGTGAGCCAAGACCAATGTGGCTTACAGTCTTGGCTGAATCATCACCATCCGCTGCAGGTCATTCACATTGATCCCTACAGAAAACCACACATGAAGCTATTTTCCTAATCCTGTCAGTTGCTGGATGGCTTATAAGAATAAGAGTTTGGAAAAAATATTTATTTCTCAATTCTAATCATAATTCTTTGTCATATAAACAGGAGGCTTTTAAATCTGAATAGATCCTTATCCAGGGGCAATAATTTCTTTAGCTCATTCATGAGATTGCTTCATATCATGTTTAATTCTGGGTTCATTTTAACAAAATGGGCTCTTAATCTTCAATTATGAAAAAGCCAAATTAGGATTTACATTTATTAGACTAATAGTAGTCAAGAGGGCAGAAGATATCCTTGGCAATACAAAATACTGCAACAACAATTCCAAATAGACTACTAAACTTAGAAGGCAGAGGGAAATTCTTGGGGCAAGCCTGTGCAAAGAAGGAGTACTCTGATTCTCAGGATCTCATTAGGGCAAGATAGAACCCTTTCTCTGTACATTTCAAAACAACTGAAGTCCAACTGAAAAAAAATCAGATTTTTCTCATAAAGACAGATGCATTATAACCATAGAAATGCATGAAACAGCTACATTAATGTAAAAAAAAATGTAAAAAAAAAAAAAAAAAAAGGGGGGGGGCTGTTCAAGATCAATGGTTAGGAACATAATTCAAAAAAAAAATTAAGTAAATGAGAGGAATTTTTCATGTATCTTTGAAGCACTTGTTGCTAACCTTCTTCACTTTAGAGATCACAAGATTAAATACATGGAGAATATCAATCAGTAGCCATTCAGTAGCCTTTCACTTTGTAATATTCTTCCTTTTCAAAGACTCCACTGCTTCACCTGCACAGCAAAGGGCTAACGTCTGTGCACTCAAACACTACAGTTCTTTCTGTGCCACATGCATCTTCAATACTTCCATTTCCACTTGCCCAATTACCCCATCAACTTGACCTCTGGACTCTAAATTGCACAACCATGACATGGCTTTGGGGTGAAAATACTCTATTTTCACCAACCCCAATAATATATATATTTTTCATAACTCTAACTATAAACAAACTATTTCTTTCTGCCTGAGCACAAACAAACTTAGCAATCTTGCCAAACAAGCCACATGTACTTAAAAAAGACCTAGTGCAACAAAGGAACCTGTGGGTAATGAGAGGTCAAGGAAGAAGTACAAGCTGGATAAAGAGATTACTCTAGTAATGAAACTGATAGATTCACTGGGGATTTCTCTAATAAAGATGTAAGCAGGAGAACAGCACTGCTTGCTGAAATCAATGTCATTTTTTAAGTTCATGTTAATTCAGAAATCAAGAAAAGGAAGGGATATTGGAAGGCTGACTGGTCAAAAAAAATAAAGGGAAACTTAAAATGACACAAAGAAAAGCATAGTTTATTTTTCATGTTCTCTACATGGATATTTGCAGCTCCCCCCACACCCTTTTAAAGGCAGACAGCTTTTGATGGCAGTTTTTACCAGGCTGCAATTGAACACATTTTTAATCTAAGTTCCTTGCAGCTGTATAATTCTTCAAATGAAAAAAATCTTAGGAATTTTGGAAGTTTGTAGATTTTCCATATTAGGTATTGGTGTTTTAAGACAAAAAGCCCTACTACCTTGACTCCCATTTTTCTTATTAAAAATAACGGAGAGACAAATTTGCCTATGATTGATAGTACTATATAGGTACTATCAACTATTACACACATAAGAGTATGCTGATTTAGACTCAATGATTTAATTTATATCAGTCATAAGTTTAAGCAGGGGAGTCACTATAATACCAGTCGAATCATTTACCTTAGTCTTTTCTTCTTCAGTTATGGTGAGTGATGTGTCCACTGATATGAGCTGTGTTTTGTTCTGAGAGATATAAAAATATTACAGGTATTACAAAACAAGCAGAATCCATTTTATAACATGGGCACAGTGCCCAGAGAAGAAAAACTGCACTTTTCATTAGGTGTAAAGCTGAAAAAAAATCTGATACGAAAGCGCCATACATTCAATGGTAACACCAACAGCTATGGAAGCAGCAGCTCTGTGGGATACACTGCCTGTCTAACCTTATAGCCATGCAGGAGCTTAGTCTGATACCCACAGAACTATATTTTGCCTTTGCCTATAAAATTCGGGCTGACAGCAACCGAGTACACTAAACAGGATCCAAAGTTAGTGTGTGTCTTTCAGGCATCAAGGTTTGAAATGCAGCCCTAAAGATTCATATCTACCAGATTTACTTAATGCCACCTGAATCTTCTACTCGTGACTTTAAGTCATGCCTTGCAGCTTCCTAGTGTTGTCTTCCTCTGCAAATACTTGCTCCAAATGCTTAACAACTTTCATCGTAATGTATTTTTTTCCCTATGGCCAATCAGAATTTCCATTGCTGCCACTTGGCTACTGGTTAAAAGAAAATATTTTCCAATAAAATGTGGCAAAACTTCCAATTCTTTTTTCAACTTTTCACAGATGACAGGGAATCATTCACAAAGAACCTTCACTTTACATTACACAAAATAAATGTGTTAACCATTTTCACTTTCAGAATACACATGCAAACTGACAGACAAAATATAGGTTAACACACAAACAATACATCTTCCATCCTCCACTTATTTAAGGAAGCCTAGGACTTTCACTATTTATAAGGAATAACTCATGTATTTATAAATTCATGGCAATCAATCAAAGAGGAACATTGCAGAGCCTCATTTCATGACATGTAGACCTCAGGATATACGTAGTGTGGTGTTTTTGTTTTGTTTTTACAAAAAAGTTGGAGACTGAAATAATATTGTAAAGGAAATACCAGTGATGAACTCCTGAAAGTTAGCTTGGCAGGCAGTGTCAAGACCCTGCCATTCCGCATTTCTTTTCCATCAAGAAGTGCAGTGTAGCTGATTGCAAAGTATTCCTCAACTGTCAGAGAAAAGAAAAAGTAAGTAGATTAAGCAGGTGAGCACAGATCTACCAGTGCGATATTGTTCTTTAAGAAACCACGTCTGTGTTTTCTTAAATAAAACAGTAACCACATTGAATTTAAAATAACCTAGTGGAATTGCACATCTTTATCCACAGAAGAAGACCGGGTGGGATTCTCTGAAGAGCTGAGCCCCCAGCTGAGCTCAGCTGTAGTTACAGATGTTTGTAAAATTTGAAAAGCAAGCCCAGTATGAATAAAACATTTGAGAAACCTTTCAGGTTTCCCTTTACACTGTGCTTCCTCACTGGCAAAAGTGCCCTCGTAGGAACCTAGCTGCAATAAGTTCACAACACTGACTTGCACAGACCTGAGCCTACCAGTATAGTTTAGACAACACAAATATGGATACATTTACTCTGACCCAGGTACAGTTACTGGATAATTTCTCACAGATTCCTGGGGAAAACTATGAATTTCCCTTTTCTACTTAAAAAAATCTTTGATCAGTAATACACCTATTATTACATCCCTAGATATTTAAACCATTAACATATATAACTGGACTTCTGTCTCACTCTGATTCTAAAGTGCAAGGAGCTAATTCTTCTCCTATGCAGAGGTGCATAGAAAAAGAGTGATAAAGAAATCGAGAAAAGGAAGACTTGCTTATGAAGGTACAAGGATCTACCTGCTACCTAAGGAACTGAATGATGCCAAGACTGGCAAGGGTTTGCATTTTTCCCCTTGTCACTTGCTTTGATTTGTAATTTGTCCCAGTCTGGAGGGAACTGGAAGCACACTGAGAAGAGCAGTTTTATTTTTGATGAATCACCTTGCCATCTTGCAAGGAGTTTTGCAATTCCAAAAACTTCAGCAATCTGCTCCAAATTTAAAACATTCACTCAGTAAAGTGTTAGCTTACTTTCTATCTTTTTAAGCTTGGCTAAAGAAGTAACATTTGTCAGATATCATTTGAAATTGCTAACAACCTTAAAGAAAAATAAAATTAAAAAATAATACCATAAAAAATTCTGCTTCATTTTGATGGTGGTGACTATTACAGACTGCTAGGGCTCATTTCTGTACCTAACAGATCAGAGGCACTTTAAAGAGGACAGCTAAAATGCAAGTCATTAGAAAATTAAACCGCAACAATTAATAATCTTTCCTAGCGTTTTTCACCTGTATTAACTGGTTAAAAGAGAATTTAAGGTTTATCTTACACAGCTAGGAAATAAAAACAAACAATTAAATATCTTGATTTGAACAGATGCTCTTCTACATGTGTAATCAGGGCTATTTGTGGGTATCATCATCTACTTCTTGGCAAAATTTGTTACCTTGCAAGAATCTTTTCCTGTAAATCTGGATACCATCCGTTGTCCTATTACCACTGTTTTTTTGAACATGTAGACCAGTAATATTATCCAGCAGAATAAGATCTGTGATGTTTGCTGAGAGCAGAGTGTCGGTGTTATTAATCAGAAGTCTAATATGTGCAGTTTGGGGGTCATGCTGAACATCCACCTGAAAACAGCAATACGAATATAACAGAGTACTAATAATGGAGCAAAATGTTTCCACTAAGATAAGCAACTTAATAGCAAAGTTAGTCCCAGGTACAAATAAAACTTTATTATATGCATAAGCTTGCTTTCTGGAGTCATTCTGAGTGACCTGCAGACAACGTCATCCTCGGTTTGATCTCAAACTCCTGAGGAGATTTTAATCTTCTTCATGTCAAGTTGTTGCTTGGAGACAAAATGACAGAAACCCAGTACCTGGAAAACCAGGAAAGCAGCTCGTGCAAGGCCATAAGTAAGTGAAAACATCACTGCGATATCTCATACACAGAACTAGATTGTAACGTTATAAAGAGATTCTGGAAAATTTTTAATGTGACACTTTTGTAGATATTTGTACAGAGTATGCTGAGGATGGCATATGAGGTCTATAACAATGGTATCTAAAAAACATGTATTTAAATGATGCACAGCTTAAAGTGTGACTCAGGCCCAATCTTTCTTCCTCCTTGTCCTCTCCTTCTAAGAAATGTGTACTGTATCTGGACCTCAAATTATTTATTAATTTATAAATCTGTCCCTACAGAAATGAGTTCTAAAAATATTAACTGTCTAGAAAATAGATTTCAGAAATTATACCAGCAAAGTTCATGGCAGCCATAGAGTCCAACCTGTGTAACTGGGGTTTTATTATGCACCAGTGATCTCTGCATTCCCTAGCAATTCAGTATAGAAGCAGATTAAATTTTTGGTACATTTTATGGATCAATAAGGAATAAGCGTTTAGCGAAATTACTAGTGCTTATCTTGCATTTTCCTATTTAAGTGACAGTAATTAAAGTACACTTGAATATATCTGATTAAATGACTAACTAGTGTAGTTAAGCTATGTTAAATTTCCCAAACTCACTCTTATATTAAACAAATTTTATGGTGGGAGGAGGTACAATTACTTACTGTACCAGATTCTGCAAAAACTTACCAGCAAGTATAATAATAATTCTAAACAACAAATGTTGTTTTAGAATTATTATCTTAGATGTAAAAAATACTTCTGATTTCATATACTCACGGATTATGAATTGGATCCCAAAATTTAAGAGACTTAAAAAAATCAGCAAATATTAATAAATCAATACATTTTGGCCCCCTTTTCTGTCTCTTGACCTTGAATCTGTCTGATGCACTCAATATACATCTCAACCTCTCCTCTGTAGTCACAGAGGTTAGAAATTCCTTTAAAAAACACAAACAAAACAGAAAAAACAAAAACCCTGGGGCGGAGGGTGGAAGCTGAGACCCTGTTCCAATCATTGAAGCAGACCTGAGGGAAGAGGGAAAAACAAAAATCCTTTTCCCCGCTTTATTTTCCCATACCTCTCCCTTGCTCTTCGGCAAGGTAAAAGGCAAAACGAGGATTTCATGATCTATTGCTGTGCTTCTAATCAGATACAAACGCATTTTATATTTAGGAAGAGGGGACATACAGAGTAATTTGGATAAATTCTACAATAAAATGGGCTAAGTAACATATGTATATCCATAGTACGTAACAGAACATGGGAGCATTAAGTCCTCTCCTCCAATATGCTCTTGTTCTTTCTGCAAACAGTTTTCCATTTCCTCTTTAATGTGAGATCTGATAATACTAATGCTTCAGAGACATCACAGCTGTACCAGTTGTCTTCTACAGCAATTTTCCAAATGTGGCCAGAAAGATCAGGCTTCCTGCATTTGTAATAATATTAAATACAAGTTTTTATCTTCCTTGTCTTTGATTTGCAATGAATTTTAAGCAAAAAGACAGACTGAGAGAATGAGTCTTTCTTAATGGTAGAAATAGAGAACACAGCAGACTGCCATCAAGCAGCCAGGAAAGCTTTGGGGTTTGACCTCTCCAAGACAGAACCTCTATCATATGCAGCTGCTGTTGGCATCAGTGGTCGCTCAGTATCTCCTTTAAGTTGCTCCTCCAATTTGCCTGCAGGTGCTTTTTTTGATGCTTTTGGAGCAGATGATTACACTGCCAACCGTCTACAGGAGCAAAACGCCACGGAAGCACCTGCTGATGCTAAGTGCTTATTTCATTTTCTCTCTGCTGCGGAATCACATTGCACGTGTTATCACCTCTGCAACAGGCATCACTTCAGGTAAATAGAAGAGCAAAATGAAAGAGCCCCAGTAAGAGCAAGACCATATCAGAAGAAAAGATGAGAAAGAAATTATCATGAAAGTGAAGGGAACAGAGGATCTTGGAGAAGAAATTTGAACAACTTGAAACATGAAGAGAGAAAATAAAAAGGATGTTCATATCATAGCTGATCTGCAACAGAAGGATGTTTGGGAGACTGAGAAATGAAACAGGTGAACAAAGTAAAAGCTGAACAGTAAAATTTAAAGATTTATTTCAGTCCCGCTAAAAAAAAAATGTAATTGTGAAGGACTATCACAGAGATGTTCATATCATATTATAAAATGAAGCTCTTAAAGGAACACATTTCTAGAACGAACAACCAACTGGTCATGAGCAGAAGTTAAACACAGTTCAATCAGAGCATTTGTAGGATTTGGTGTATGAAGAAGCCCGTCTTAGAAATGTAACGATATGTCATTTCCCTGCTCCGAGGAGCCACTTATGGATGAGAGAAGGAAAATGGGCAAAATCCTTTTCCTTTTTTTTTTTTTCCTCATTTAAAACTGCTAAAGACTACCACATGGTCAGTCAGTCTCTTGATGGGAAAGCATCTGTTCAGCAGAATTAGGATTGAAACAAATGGCAAGGTAAGTAAATGAAAATGAAATAGGAACTGCCATTTGAAGATGGAAGACAATTCACACACAATTGCCTAATTTTAACAATTTAAACTGATAGGACTGCAAGATTATTTTCTGATAGTCCTAGCATCTACAACAGAGTAACTTCAATCTTGTACAATGGGATTTCATCTTTTTTAAGGAGCCTGTTGAGGCTGTGCTACGAATAGCAGAAAAAAAAAAAAAAAAATGTAACTGCCTCAAACTCTCTCAGAAACTATGATACCACAATTTGGAATTTGCACACCGTAAAGTGGAAGATTCTGTGTTACTGCTTCTTATGCCTGAAATGCTCACTATTCAGCCTCATTAATTAGGATATGCAACCATTTCAATAACAACATTATTAGTGCCATGAAATGTGATGTATACAATGTGCACATGATCTAGTGCAGGTCATAATATCACCTCTTCTGTACTGGATACTAAATTCTCTGCCCTCCTATGCAGCATTTAATGGCCGAATCCAGATTGGACTTCAAGTTGGCTGCACTTTCTCTCTCACCCTGGGACAGATAAGGGGAAATAATTACAAAAAAAAAAAATCAGACTTGACTCATTTAGTGTGAAAAAGCAGGAAAAATCAAAGAAAAAATATAACATATATCTGAATCCTTTAAGTGATTCTAACCAAAGTAAAATTACAATGCAAAGTTTTTAAAAATTCCTTCCAGTAGGAATTTTGTCAGCCTTTGTCCCTCATAAGAATATTATACAATTCAAATTAAAACTGTACTCATAAAAGTGTGCTGTGATCAAGTTCCAGTGAATACTCCAAGACTATGTCACACTGGCTCTTGCAGCTGGCTTTGCAGGTGGCCTCGCAAAGACATCGTGGGTGTCACAGGGCTCAGTGGTTCATCCTTTGGGTCCAGACTTGGCGCAGGTGGGACAATCCTTGCATAAGACAGAACATCTGAATATCTGACAGGATATATCTCATTCTCTAAAGAAGATTTTCCCTATCACTACCCAACCTCATGTCTCCTATCTACAGTTCGCTAGGTTTTTTTTACATTTTTACTTACACAGATTCACGTGGAGTTATTTACTGGGATTGAAATCCTCTAAAGGGAAAAGATTTCACTGACTTTGCTCAGTTTTGAATCAACATTGCAAAAATCGTTCTATTACATCAAAATTTTAATATTTTAACATCAAAATGGACATTTTCCCAAGCGTTCAACATGGGCAGAATCGTCTTCCAACTTTTTAAAGGACATTTGAGTGTCAATTTCCCATGAAATTGACAAGTGAAATAAAAAGAAACTTACCACAGCACACTTTTGAAGGGTTACTCCGAATCCTGAAGACACTGGCACTTTAGAAACATCTTCGGTCTGTGAAAGTAGGGGAAATGTCTACATAGCATATGAAACTATCATAACTCCCAAACTACAGCACAAGTTAACTTGTTGGACAATAAAATATGAGATAGAAATTTGCAGTATTAACCACTTACAAGTTTAAGAGCTTCATTATCCTAAGTAGTATTTTACATTAGTCCACACACACACACACACACACACACATATATATATATATAAACTATTTATTCCCTCATGCAATTACTAGCATCTTTATGTATTCATCTTTTGACTATCACAACAACCCAAGACAAAAGTTCATGCATGAAAAGACCAAGTTCATCAAACAACACAGATGCATTTTATTGTGGAACTTTTGATGCTTTAGATTCTGGCCGTTTCCTCTAGTTCTGTTGGTGGCCACCAGTGAAAAGAGGCCAGCACCATCTTCCTCACTCCCTCCCTTAAGGTATTTATAGAATCAGGTCTACTCTCAGCCTTCTCTTCTTCAGGCTGAACAGGCCCAGCTCTCTCAGCCTTTATTGTTGAAGTCATCTCAAGTGCACATAATCACCTGAGACAGAATGAGAAACCACGTACTAATTGGGTAGTAAATTCCCAGCATCTGCTTCTGTTACTACTATGAACCTTACAGGTATTACAAGTGGCAAAGCATCTCTTACTGACCAGTTGGTGGCTAGTGAAGGACTCTCGTTTGGACAGAATCTTCTTTGTCCACGAGGGTATCAGGGCAAACAGCGAGTGGCTCCTACGATCACCTGAGGCTGACGAAGCCGAGAGCAGGTCGCGGGTGTCCCGGGCTGGAGGTAACCACCCTGCCGAAAGGCAGCGGCACACAGAGCGTTACAGGAGAGCACCTCGCCCACACACGCTTCCCCCGTAACAGCAACGGCCCACGAGCAACCGAAGCACAAGGCCAGGTAAGAAGCAGGGACGTGATGGCGGGGTGGCCTGCCCCAGGAAACCCAGCAGGCCTTGGCACAGAAACTTGCTTCCATCTAGGAAATTCCTTATTCAAACCAAGGTTATTATGCATGAATTAACAGGTTTCAGCCTTAAATCAACTTCAGAAAAGTGTCAATAATTGAAACACTCTATAATACGAGTGGCCTGTCTGCTGCAAAGATGCAATTAAGCATTAAACATTTCAATAGACATTCAGAATAAAAATATTTCTCAGTGGAGAAAGGGTTTCAGTTGAGATGGAGTGCCATCAAATCAAATACTCCACAATTAAGTAACTAGGAATATCAGTCCTATCCCACAATCTGTGTATGTGTCTTTTTTTTTTTTCTGTAGAAAAGATTAGGACATGATGTGACACAAAATTACAAGAACTTTGAAATAATAATTTGTTATCTTCCACATACTAAAGTAAAAGCACCTATGGCACTAATAGAAGGAGCTTAAAATAAATATCAATAATTCTACGTACTAAATTATCATAAAAGTAAAGGTGCTGAATAAAGTAAAAATGACATTAAAATTTCAGAAAAATATTTGTTTTTCTGTTTTTTATGATACATTTTTCAGTCTTTGCGTAACAGTTCTCCTTCATCACTGATTTTTAAATCCCATATTTTAATCATCAGCAATACATGTGAACAACAAAACTCAAAAGCGAGAATTTCTGGCAAATGACATTGTTCTATAAAGTCTTGGTTTTTTTTTAAGCGTACTAAATATTAACATGATACAGAAAGCTGAAGCATATTGACAATCTCATCAATGTGAGAAGTTTCATTTATTTGAAAACACAGTGTTTGACTAGAGAGAAAAAAACAACAACAAAAAAAAAGCAACAGACAATACTAGTTTCAATCCTACAGAAGGGAAAGCCAAAGCCATACAGCTATACCAGGATGGCATCAAAGCTGGACTGTATGTGAGGAAGTGGGATCAAAAGCTAACAGACCTTCTCGCTACCAGCCCGAGCCCACTTGGCTTGCATGGCCCTCCAGGAGGGCAAGTAAAATACACGGTCCTGCTTTATTTCCTTTTTAGTCACTCTCTTGTGCCATGTGGGACGCTCACTGGCCATCCAGCTGCTGCTACTGCAGAGCACAGGCCACCCGGAATCCTGCACTACCTGCCTGCCCAACCTCAAGTGATTCTAAATGTGCGTTTGAACAACAGAATCGAGCACAGTCCTCAGTTTTGTACGGATATAATGAAAGTCTGAAGATTAACTTTATACTTGCTGTGCTTTTTACATATTGATGCAATTGTCACCACATTTTTATGAGCAAAGGTGGAGCACCGGCTTTCCTTTTCATTTTCTTGCCAGGCTAGAGAAGATATCTTATAGTAAATAGAAACCTTAACTGAAGATGTGGAGCTTCCTCTTGAAGTTTCCTCGGACCAAGTCATTAAGGCAAAATGGGTTTGCTGAGCAACTGCACCCTTGACAATGCTTCTTCGTCAGCAGACCATTTCCTTCTTGTGCATTTTGCACAAAGGAGGTAGCCAAGAAGAGGGTAACTGCTTCATGAACACTTCTGTTCTTCTGCCTTGCATAAGCTTTTATCACCAGCCCACCTGCATTTTTCTCATGAAAGCTATGCCTGATGCTCCTCTCCAGAGAGTATCAAGTCCCAATAAACAATTGCATTGACTGATCATATTTGCTTCTCAATAAATCTCTTTACTAATTACACAGATGATTCAATTTTCAAGTTGTGTTTTGTTGTCACTCACAATCCTGAGATAATGTGGCCAGCTCCCAGCCGTGTTATTTGACCTCTCCATTACAGATAATTAGAGGTTGAGGATTTTGCAGGTTCTTGACATTACGCTAAACGGTCTCAAGACTGTTGATGATTACAAGGACGCTTCTGCAAATCCACTTGTATCTTCCCAGTAGCCCTCGGAGAAAGGCTTTGCTCAAACTGGTATCATCTGTGTGATGCATGTCCATACAGCAACGTTGAACTCCCTTCTCCAGCCTCTTTCTCATCTTTCACACTCTATTTTAACAACACAGTCAGGCTGCTTTCTAAGGCCCAGGTTTCCCTTGGCAGTAAAGCAGTACTTTTCTATCTCATTTTTTTGTACCATGAATTGTCAGTTGAATAAAATGAACCTTTTCCTGGTCCACACACAGCTAACTGTCACTCCAGTTATTTACAGCTCCAGCTGTCTTACAAGAAGGTAACTGCTCGGCCATGTAACTTTTTGCATCCTCTTAACTTCAAGACAACAGTAACTGTATCTATCAATTCATATTCTGCTTCTTTTCAGTAAAGGTCCTACATAGATTGCAGACTGCTGATCACTGTTCGAAAAGCTGAATGCTCAATAACCGAGAGAGGATGTTACAGGCATAAACCATTCCACAGTTTTCAAGTCTATATTTGATTTCTATTCTGAAATTGGTTTTGTTACAAAAAGATTCATCTGAGGTTGAAAAATACTAATAATTGACTCTTGAGGCCTTTCACAAGCAAGCATCAAGCTTTCTTTTTGATACCCTGTTGCTTGGAGATACGAGCACCCCACCATCCAGGCTTCTTCAGAGGCACATCCTAGTTCTCTAATGGATCCTGCAGTTTCTTTATTCATTCCACACTCTTTTCTTCCTACAGTTTCTATCCTTGCCATTTTTCTGGCTGTTTTCAAAACAGCCATTATTTGAGCTGCAGTTCCTCACTGGCCATGAAATGGATGGCAGTTGCCATCAGTAACTAAACTGAAAATTTCCCTCACTCTTTTTCAAAACTGCAACTTAGCAAAGTCGAACAGTTTTGGCCATACACACTGCCAAACGGTCCAGCCCAAACAACAGGCACCTCTCAGCTGGGCTTGCCTGGCGGTCAGGGGGACCTCCCAGCACACAGTGCTCAGCCCAAAACATTTCTCAATAAGCAGCAGAGCACGAGGCTTAATCTGTTTTTTTTTCTGCCTGAAGTTGTCAACGGAAACAGTCCAACAAAGGCAATCATTTCACTGTTCATTTGAGATCTGAAATTACATATCCATCTTTAAGATGAGATTTTGCTTTGTTTTCTTTAGTAACAGATATTTAATACTCCGCATTTTTGCAAGCCATTATCTAGCTGTTAAATACTTTATCATAATCTCATTAGCACATTACTAAAATATGTTCCAGTGATTTAACCCTCCATAAATCCAATATAAACATATATACCAGAACCCTGTCTTAAATTGTATATTCCTAGATAATGACCAGTGGTGATTTGTCAACTTCTTCATATTGAATTACAAAACAAAAACATTCACTCAGTTCTCGTGGACTCTCTCTTGACTTCCAGGAGCCATATCGTGGTACAAGCCATGCTCTTCTGTAGGAGTCTGACATAGTGCACCACCTACCACGTCGAGCCCGAGGTCATGGTTGAGTCTGTGTTTGGAAGGGTCAGGCATCTAAGAAAGAAACTGTCATCTGTTTATGGTTGCTATAATGTCCTTTGCTAAGAAGCTCTATTTGAGTAACAGGGACCTTCAGTGTTAAAGCATAAGCCTTCACCACCTGAGTAATCAAGGGTCCTGAACATGGCAGTGGCAGACTGCTCTTCAGAAGGGTGTATGTAACACCCAAGAGCTGCAGTGCCTTACTTGTTCTTCATACAAGTTGAGATGAAGGCAATTATTTGGCACAACAATTAAACAGGATGTTATAAAGTTAAATAGTCCTGTAATAAGTTGGCAGCAAAGAGGTCAATATGCCCTTAAAGCCTCTATCCCCATACAACACATCTCATCCTGTCAATATACATAGGAAAGCAAGCAGTGTGACAGGTTTGTGAAAAGCCACCTTCAGTATTAAAAACTTGGGGTAAACAAGTTAACATTAGGAAGGAGGAAAAAAAAAAAAAAAAGCAATTTAACAAAGACAGCCAATCTAATTTTTGGCTCCCTTCCCAAAGGCTGCATATCTTAAATACCAAATCCACAGTCAGATTCATTTTGGCCCTGAATTCGAAATCTACAAAACCTTTGCGTTACTTTGACTTATTTTATTTGAGAGGAAAAGGGTTAAGCAAATGTGCTTACTGTATTTTTGTTGTTGTTTTGAATTAATCCTCTGTCTGGAAAGCCATCCAGGATACAAGATCCAATTTGAAGTCCTTTCAATTACATACAACAATGAACAGGCAAAGGTAGCAATTTACTGTATTTCAATTTTGAGTGTTGCCATTATCTTTTCTTGTTACAAAGTTGAAGAAACTATTGGAATCAATGAGACCAAAGAAACCTACTTTTCAAGTCATGCTCTGAGTAAGTCAGAGTGAAGACTTGAACATAACTCTCAAATTTACTGTGTTCCCCAATCACTGGGCAATTCTCTCTCATCTCAAAAAAAAAAATCTTTCTAAAAAAAGGCTGGTGTGCTGTCCCAACATTTCTATCTGCTGCCAAATGTTTTATTCAGAAGTTTCAATATCACAGCTTTCTTGAGTTTCTTAAATAAGAAAGAAGGATGTTAACTTGTCGATCAAGCAAACCACTGAATACTTCATTACAAATATGTAAAAAAAAAATCTTATTTATCAGAATGGAACAGTTCTCAGGCATAAAACCATGCATACAATTCAATGCTTTGCAGCATCCCTTCTTGAAGCATCTATATTTAAGTCCAAGCAAAATGAAAGAGATTCAAACAATGACTATCAGAAAAATATAATATGTGTCAAAATCTTCCAATCACCCCACTTCTTCTAGTGCCACAAGGTTCATCTGAACTATAAAACTGCACACACTTCCCCTCTCAGGGGATGGCACATTAATAATTTGCAATAAATCAGAAAAGAAGATGCAAGGAGCAAAGATTACTGAATAAACACAGGGGAAAAAAAAAAAGGAAGGAAGCTAAGCAAATCTGAATTATTTGCTTTCATATTTAAATTAATAAACTCATTTCTGAATTAGCCATGGAATAGGGCAAAGAAATTAGAGGCATCTCACTAGATGACTGCTTCAGACCATGTAATTTCTTGGCAAATGCATCTTATGAAAGTCATCTCCTGGGGAACTGCAGCCTTAGCCACTGGGGTTTCTATTTCAGACACTACACTGGCCCATTAATGTGCGATATGAGGATCCCATAACCTTTCAGTGTGTTCATCTCCACTACACTGTGCTGAGGTAACACACCATTTATTTTCAACATGGAAAAAATGAAGTCTAAAGATACAGAGGAACTAAGCGATTTGTTCAAATCCACACAGAGAGCCCGTCAGCCAGTTGTCAAACACAGCTCTGCCAAGTTATGAGTGACTCATGCAAGTTTAAGGCTGCCCCTCTTCACTTGGATTAGATAAAACAGCACTGGAGATGTTTTGCATATTTGAGACTGGTGCCTAGTTCATCGCACAGCATAAAGGGTATTTGCATCCCAGCATCCCCTCCAGACCCCTGTTTCCATCAGCTATTGTAACGTTTGGGTTCTTCAAAAATAGCCTTGAATAAGTGCTGGAACTGTGTTAGGTATGGATAGCAAACGTAGAGTGGTTAAGTTGGCACCTAAAAACAGAGAACGTCCTGATCGGCCTCAGGTAATAGGCTTTTTCCACAACACTTGGGGCATCAGAGAAGTGCTTCTCTGTATTACACACCCTGCTGACCAGTGAGGAGAGATGGCTCCTCCTAGGAGCAATTCTGAGCAGGATACTAGCTAAGGTCTTCTCACAGGGGTCCAATTTCTGAAGTGGGACTGTCCCAATGTCCTCGTGGCCCCACAACCAAGAGTCACCTTGGCCAACACCAGATACCAAAAGTGCTTCTACAGCCACCATCTCTGCACTACAAGACTGCAATTCATGGCAAAGATGCCACAAAGCCCCCTGGTTTTGAGATCACTGAAGGCACGGATCCACAGGCAGGTACAGGTGATCAAACCCTAGATCTTCTTGCACATTGAGATTGTGAAGCAAGGCCCACCACTAAACTGGGAGCCATGTGGACTTTGTTAGGTGGGACTCCACGACAGGTAGTAACCCTGAGAGGATGCCCCTAGACTCAGACTGCTTCATTTCTTCTACCTCTCTCACCCCTTTTCCAAACCAAGCCCAGGTAAAACCAGGCGGCAAGTCCAGTGCCCTGCACACCCCTGACCCTGAAGTGCTGGGAATCCAGGCTGAACGCAACCAGAGAGAGAGTTAAAACAGTCACATACCTGCCATTCCCAGACACCCAGTCTCCTTCTGAAGCCACAGATTGTCATTAGTAACCTGAAGTTAAAGTAGAAGAAAGCAATTATAAAAATAGAACTGTATTTGTAAGTTTCTAACATGGCTTAATTGAACTGTTACACTGGATTTATGCTTTATAATTAAGACAAAATCTCATTCCATGAAGCCTCAAGTTTCCCCCAGGTTAACTAGGAGAAGAGATACACCACTTGTCTTGAGGACTTGCTCAGTTTGCCAAGCAGTGTGGGGCACTGCTGTCTCTTTCTATGAGTACGTGCATGTCTTCGGGGCTCTAAGAGCATTTACAACCCAGATCACCAGTCTGCGACTTCTCACTACAGTGGAGCTTGCTATGAAGTATTAGTTTTCAACTATAGAACTGAGCAAAATCCAATCACTTCCTAGGAGCTAGTCCTATTGGATAGGGAAATCACATCTGCTAAAGTAATGTTTTTTTTTTTTTTCTTAGAAATGTTACACGCATCTCTTGAAAGAGACCATGGGCTTAAAAATTAGCTTGTTAGCCAACGTGCGACAGACTTCTGACCAAGATCATGGAGCTCATTACAGAAATTACAGCTCTTAAGTTTAAGAGAGTAGTATTTTTTAGTCTAAGGATACCTGGCCTAATCCCCAGTGGTTTGATCAAGAGAGTAATAGTCATACAAGTAAGTTTTCGTTTAATAAAAATGTCTCCTGTGAGGAAAAAATACCTAGTTACGAACTCACGCTGACTAAGTCAGCAGAACAACATGCCCAGGACCTGTAGTTTCTGTTTGCTTTCACAAACTATATGTGAGCAACGTTAAAACTACATCACCACTGCTGCTATAATAGCGAGTTATGGGCAATTTTATTCTTTGCCTTCTTAAGAAAGTCATCATTTTTATTATTGCTAGCACTATAACTTCAGTTACCCTTGTGTGAAAACAGTTCTTATTTCATTTAGGGCACTTTCTCTCAAAACGAAGAAAACACATGACATCTCAGAAATCTGAATGCACTAGGTGCCCTACATTTTAAGTGGACATTGCTCTGCCACAGTGGAAATACATATAGCTAGACAACAAGTAGCTCTTCCAGAAAAAAAAAAAAA